CTTAATCCAATTTATTTTCTTTCCCATCCCTCTTTTATCAGGATGTGGGATACCACAGTGGCATTCACAACTTGCCAAATTTTACGTGTGGAGAGGGAGTTTGCTGGGGAGATGGGAGACCAGTCTTTTGGACATGAGCAAACTTATAGCAACTGCACTTGCCATACTCTTTCAGATACCTGATGAAAACTTTTATATTTCAGCAAGCTTACATATTTTAAGAGTTTTGCTGATTTTATGTTTTAATTGGGGGTTTTTCTAAAAAAATGTATACAGTGGTACCTCAGGTTAAGTACTTAATTTGTTCTGGAGGTCCGTTCTTAACCTGAAATTGTTCTTAACCTGAGGTACCACTTTAGCTAATGGGGCCTCCCGCTGCCGCTGCCTGATTTCTGTTCTCATCCTGAAGCAAAGTTTTTAACCTGAGGTACTATTTCTGAGTTAGCGGAGTCTGTAACCTGAAGCGTCTGTAACTCGAGGTACCACTGTACTTGTTTAGGAGTTTTGTGGGTTTTAGTAGGGCTTTATCAATGATGGAGATGGAGTTGGGTCCCTGTGTCTACCTAACCCAAGAACATAAGAGCCTACTGGATCAGGCCAATGGCCCACCTAGCCAGGATCCTGCTCCCACAGCGGCCAACCAGAAGCCTGGGGATCCTGCAAACCGGACCCGGGTGCAAGAGCACTCTTCCCTCCTGAGGTTTGTAGCAACTGGCATTTTGAAGCATTACTGCCACACACCACGGAGGCATGGTATAGCCCATCATGTCTAGTAGTCATTTATAGTCTTAAAGGTAAAGGTAAAGGGACCCCTGACCATTAGGTCCAGTCGTGGCCGACTCTGGGGTTGCAGCGCTCATCTTGCTTTATTGGCCGAGGGAGCGGGCGTACAGCTTCCGGGTCATGTGGCCAGCATGACTAAGCCGCTTCTGGCGAACCAGAGCAGCGCACGGAAAAGCTGTTTACCTTCCCGCCAGAGCGGTACCTATTTATCTACTTGCACTTTGACGTGCTTTCGAACTGCTAGGTTGGCAGGAGCAGGGACCGAGCAACGGGAGCTCACCCCGTAACGGGGATTTGAACCGCTGACCTTCTGATTGGCAAGCCCTAGGCTCAGTGGTTTAACCACAGCGCCACCCGCGTCCCTTATTTATAGTCTTACCCTTCATGAATTTGCCTAATCCCTTTTTCACCTCTTAGGGGTACCATATAAAAACTCCTGCTCAAGAAGCCACTTCCAAAGAGGAAATGACTTGAATCCCACAGGAATCTGGTTCTGTGCAGCCAGGGCAAATGCATCTGCTCTGCCACTTTGTATATTGCAGAGAATTTGTTGCATGCCCTCCTTTTTGGCACGTGAACACACGGTGGGGGGCGGGGAGCACAAATATATATCTTAGCATTAAGCTAGAAGAGAAATAGTAGTTTTCTAAAGGCCATTTTAAACTTAAGGCAGAAAACATCAGACCCCACAGCTAATTCTCCCATGGCCTCCTCGCTGACCCAAGTAGGACCAATTCAGCCAGCTAGCCCTGGGGATTATCTAATGCATATTTCCCCTAAATTGATTTTTTATTTTTGAATTTTATTGTTATTCATGTTTTTATACTGTATTTTATGCTGCTTTTATAATTAAGTGTTTTTAATTTGTTGTTAGCTGCTCTGAGCCCGGTTTTTGAACCAGGAAGGGCGGGGTATAAATAAAAATGTATTATATTATTATTATTATTAACATATCCTGGCTGTACTTGCTTGTGTAAACAGGTATGTTTTCAGCATATTGCTAGATGCACGAAACTGTTGTGAAATTAGTATTTTTGAAGTTGATTGGGGCCAACTACCTTGAACTTCGATATTTAGCAAACTAAAATGCATTATGTCTACTGCGAGGACAGAGTGAAGTTTATAGCATCTTCCCATGATCTAAAGGAGAATCTGCTACAGATAAAATTTAAGTTTATTTTCAACTGGGCAGTCCTCCAGACCACAAAACCCACCACAGTTCAGAGATTGCTGTGTTCAGTTTTCAGTGCCCAGGGTTCAGAACAATTTCCCGTTGCATAAAACAGCTTATACAGGCAAGGACACCCACAAGTCCTTTTATTAATGTAGTGTTAAATCTGAAATTTCAAAACTTTCAGGAGTCACACAAATCAAAATTGATTCACCCCCTCCCCGGAAACTATGCATCAGAAAAATCCCTCCCATAACCTGGTCCATTAATCCTTAGGCTATGCAACATAGTTTGCAGCAAACAAGACACTATGCTGCTGTACTGTACTATGCTGTACTGTACAGGCAACTCCCCATTTACGCAGGCACCACATGTTTAAGTGAAATCGCATATATTTGAAATACCATTGAAGAAGCCTGCAAACACCACATTCCTCCCCCACGCCTTTTTGTGATGTTTTTGGGCCACTTCCAGGTTTGGTCTGATGTGTGTATGTGCAGTTGCACAAAGATTGAGCATCCATAAATGTGGGGTTGCCCCTATAGTAATTTTGTAATCAACAAAGGACTAGTTTCTTACTAAGTGATTGTACTGCAAACAGCAATGCCTTTGGAACAAGACATTAGCAGGAGGACTTGAACATATACATTCGTACCTTGGAAGTCAAATGGAATCCGTTCGAGAGGTCCATTTGACTTCCAAAACGTTCGAAAACCAAATTGCAGCTTCTGATTGGCTGCAGGAAGTTCCTGCAGCCAATCGGAAGCCGTGGAAGCCCCGTTCAGGTTCCAAAAGCACGTTCGCAAACTGGAACAATCACGTCCAGGTTTGCAGCTTTTGGGAGCCAAAACGTCCAAGTTCCAGGGCATTTGGGATCCAAGGTATTTCCATACAATTGAACAAACTGAGGTTGTATCCTACCTGAGAGTCTACGGAAAGGACAGTCGAGGCTTTGCCAACCTAGTGCCTTCCATATGTTCTAGACTGGGGACAGCAAGGTTTATCTTGCCTGGGCCGGATCGGTCCTGCTGAGATCCGGGGACCGGATTGTGCATGCACGTGACCTGCGATTTTTGGTGTCTGCACATGTGCAGACGCGATTTCCGGCGCCGCGGAAGCGAGTCCCCATGCCGTGCTGGTTTAGCGCAGCATGCGAGTGGCCAACTCAGTTTGGGGGCAGCTCGTGGGCCAGTCAAACAACCTCTGCGGGCCGCTTTTGGCCCATGGGCCTTAGGTTGCTGACCCCTGTTCTAGACTACAGTTCCTTTTGCCTGTAGCCAGCACAGCTTATATCTGAAGAGAATCAGTCTGGCAAAGGATGTGACTGACCACCTGTTTGCAAGCTTTCACAAAAAGCTTTTTACACATCACCTTGTCTTCTGGAGACTATTCTATGGCATAGCCTAGGCTATTCTCTTCTGCACTGTCTCCTGACTAGCTGATAGAGGCCCCAGGGAATTCTTACTCTTTTTAATGGGGAAGCTGGGTGGCCTGGAGTGCAACAGGGTCATAGTTCTTTGGCAATAAACCTAAGATTTTCATTGTCTTAAATAACTTATGTGGGATGTAATGATAATCTATCCACAGTGCAGGCCATTCATAAAACTGAAAAGTGCCTCGCAGTACAAGAAATTAGCTTTCCTCAACAAATGTTTGTTTTAGCAGAACTCTATAGAGATGTTTTTCATTGAAGGGATTGTCAACAAAGGGTATTAAAAAGTTTTAAAGAAACTTAATTATGAGGTGCTCTACTCCATCTAGTTAAAGCAAACACTACTACATTATGCTTAATTATAGGCTTGCAAGCATTTTAGATTTTTATTTATTTATTGTATTTTCAACTACTTAATTCTAACTTGCCCTGTTCACCGCTATTGAAAGGGTGAATACAAGCTTTAAAAAGTAAATATAGTAACACAGAATATTAAAATCTAAAAGGCTGAGAATACTTTTGTGGGCAAAATACTGATAATGGAAGAGGCAAACGTGAGCTTCCAAATTTGCAAGGTTCTTGATTTTGAAAAAAAAAATCCAAATCTAGCTATTTTAAAAAATTGTTTCTATTAAAGATTTTCTGGGGTTACAAAAGTACATACAGTGTCTCTGCTTTCAGTTCATAGAGTCCTTTTTACAGATCAGTTACATTCAATGTGAGACAGAAATGTTATAGACCATGGGTAGGCAACCTAAGGCCCAGGGGCAGCCTAATCACCTTCTCAATCTGGCCGGGAATCAGCATGTTTTTACATGAGTAGAATGTGTCCTTTTATTTAAAATGCATCCCTGGGTTATTTGTGGGGCATAGGAATTCGTTCATTATTATTTTTCAAAATACAGTCCGGCCCCCCACAAGGTCTGAGGGACTGGCCCCCTGCTGAAAAAGTTCGCTGACCCCTGTCTTACATAGTGCATGGGCAAGGTTACTGTTTCAGCATCACGTGGGTAGGTTCTTTAAAGGTAAAGGTAAAGGGACCCCTGACCATTAGGTCCAGTCGTGGCCGACTCGGGGGTTGCGCGCTCATCTCGCTTTATTGGTCGAGGGAGCCGGCGTACAGCTTCTGGGTCATGTGGCCAGCATGACTAAGCCGCTTCTGGCGAACCAGAGCAGCGCACAGAAACGCCGTTTACCTTCCCGCCAGAGCGGTACCTATTTATCTACTTGCACTTTGATGTGCTTTCGAACTGCTAGGTTGGCAGGAGCAGGGACCGAGCAATGGGAACTCACCCCATTATGGGGATTCGAACCGCCGACCTTCTGATCGGCAAGTCCTAGGCTCTGTGGTTTAACGCACAGCACCACCCGCGTCCCTATGAGTAGGTTCTTTATCTATTCATTTATTAGCTTTTGTTGGCAATGAGAGAGATTGGGGTGCCGAGGGCTTGCTTATTTGCCTTAGTTTTTACTACAATCTTAATTTCATCAAAAGGGACAGTACAAATCAATCCCCAAAAGGAGCATGTTCTACAAATCTACTTTGGAGGAAGTGAAGCACAGAAGAACCAATGATACATTACTGATTTTATAAATGCTCACAGCTGCACACGTGAGGTATCGTATGTAAAAGGATTTTATTTTCAGACAAAATGCTTGCAATAAATTCATCCAAGCTGAAATTTCATCATTTTTCTGGCAAAACCACTTGGCAATTCTCTTACCAATTTAGTGATGCACACTTAGCCAATTACTTATGCACTTAGCCAATTGTAATTACCGTATTTTTTGCTCTATAAGACTCACTTTTTCCCTCCTAAAAAGTAAGAGGAAATGTGTGTGCATCTTATGGAGCGAATGCAGGCTGCACAGCTATCCCAGAAGCCAGAACAGCAAGAGGGATTGCCGCTTTCACTGCGTAGCAATCCCTCTTGCTGTTCTGGCTTCTGAGATTCAGAATATTTTTTTTCTTGTTTTCCTCCTCCAAAAACTAGGTGCGTCTTGTGGTCTGGTGCGTCTTATAGAGCGAAAAATACGGTAATTCAAGAAAGTGGCACGGTGAAATGAAACAGCAAGAAAAGGCTGCTATTCATTTATTCAATTAAATGAGGCTTGTGCATATGTTTCACAAGACACATTATAGCAGTGATGGCCAAACTTGGCCCTCCAGCTGTTTTGGGACTACAGTTCCCATCATCCCTGACCACTGGTCCTGTTAGCTAGGGATGATGGGAGTTGTAGTCCCAAAGCAGCTGGAGGGACACGTTTGGCCATCACTGCATTACAGTATCTGGCAACCAGTGCCCAGCAATGCCAAATGCAGTTAACGGATGTACCAGAACTGTTTAAACTCTCCTGTTATGATGACCAAGAAGCTGATTAATAATAGAGATTTGTGATTTAACCTGATTGGAAACAAATCAAACACTATCAACCACCCAGACATCACATGGGTGGAAACACATCCCATTGTGGCAAGTAGTGGCAGGTCGGATCACAAATCACCTTTATAAAATGTGCATTTATTTTAAAATTAGGATGATAAAATATGTACAGTAAGGATGTGTTTTTTTAAGTCCTTAGTTTAAAACACTAGCATTAAAAGTTTGTATCCCCCAATAAAATCTGACAGGTTTCTGGTTACCATACTGCTTTTTTCATACACTGATACCTTCAAGTTTTAGTTTCCAGCAGGTGTGAAATGAGACATGCCTGCAAGGCTTGTATTGCTAAAGTTACACACCTTACTGTATAAACGATCCCACTGGAACTGCCCTATCTTTCAGAATCGTTTCAGATATCACAAAGTAGCAGAGTACAGCTACCTCTTCTTGCTCAATACCCCCTCCAGGCTAACTTTGTGATGTCTGATGATACATACTACTTGATAGATTCGCAGGAGCCTCTTACGCTATCAGCTCAGCAGCTGCCAAACTAGTTCATCATCAAACAAGCACTTTTCAAGATGTCACAACGTTTGGGACAGAGCAATCCTGATTAATCCCAAAGTGTTTGCAGCGATTAACTTCGCTTGTTGTTGTTTTTTAGATGTCTGAAAGTGTCCTAGTGTTAATCTAGTAGCTCAGAGGAGTACCAATCAGGTATCTAGTTAAATCCCACACTTTTGCCACTGCTTTGCTGACAGAAAACGTGACAGAAATGTTGGAGTGTACAGAGGCCAACAAATTACAATGAAACATAAGAAGGATGTGGCCGTTCAACCCATGATGTTGCAAGTCCTGTGCACAGAGGGATCGTTGTGTGTGTGTGTGTGTGTGTGTGTTTACATGGACACAAGTAACTTGACTAAATGGAAGGGATGATCTAGATGGGAATATGGAAGGCGGGCAGAGTTTTCATGTGTGCAGACAAGCAGGAGAAATGGGACTCTAACGGGACTCTGATATGGGTGCTGCGCTGTCTTATGGGGAAGGCTTACGGCTTTGGAACATTTTTTCCCAAGTTTAACTGTTTAAAACTGAATTAGGAGCCAGAAGCAAGAGCACTCACAAGTCAACAGCCAAACAGGAGGAAAATCTCCACAGGTGCTGTAAGAGCAACACGCTCTTATTCTCAATATTAATGCAATGTGTTTTGTATTTCTTCAGGATATTTTCCATTCACAATTCCTTCAAAACACAGAGGTTTCCTTCTTTCGAGAGAGAAAAGAAACAACCTTTCTTTTGAAGGAGTTGTGAAAGGAGGGGGAAGGAAACTGGCGGGAAGAGCACTTAAGAAGCTTGCAAATTCATTGGGCCAGTTCCGGGGGAGGGGGGGGTAGGAATGATCTTTTTTGTTAACACCTGTGGATGTTTTCCTCTTGTTTTCTTCGAAATTAGACATCACGTGCCAGACAAAGATTTGTCATCTGTGTCAGTTGCATATCTTTTCCATAAAAAATTGTCATTTTTCTTCCAAAGAGACTTCTCGTCATCCTCTTTCTTCTGGGATGAAGTGACTGTAGAAGCTCTTTCGCACAGTTTCTCTATGGCTGCCACGTCTGTGAGTTTTTCGAGGCTCTCATCATTCGGTTCATTCAGCATGTCCCAGAAGTCTTTTGGCCGAGTTCGTGCTTTTTCTGCAGGACCTGAGAGAGTCTTCCTAGGTGCCTCTGTTGGTCTATTTTCATGGCTCTTGAAGAGGTCGTTTAAAATAGAGATGTCTCCTAGCATGTCTGCGAAAGAGCTTTTCTTGCACATTTGAGCATGTCTGCTTTCTGGTGGAGACAGAAAGGGTTCTCTTGGTGACTCCATCCCCTTCAAGTTTGGCTGTCCTTTTGCAGACAGCCCTTCAATTATTCCTGATTTACTGCTTAATGAGTCAGATGCCATAAAGTCCTTGAATGCCTGGCTGTTTCTCCTACTAACGCTATCTTGGGTAATGACAGTGGGCAATTGTGTATCTTCCACATTATGGCACACAGCAGCCTGTATGAAGGGATGAAATTGAAACTGCTTTGCTTCTGCGTCATGTCTTTCTTGGCCGCAGAGATCTGTTGAAGACTCAGACTTTGATTTTCCACGTTTAGAAATTGCCTTTCTTTTTCTAAACGGGGTTCTGTGCACATCTCCTTCCTCACTTCCTTCTGAAACAGATACTGGAACATCAACTTTTAATAGGTCCTTTAACTCTGGATATTTAGCACTGTAAAATTCTTTCAGCATTTTCTGCCTTTCTTCTGATGTAGTTTTGATAATATGCTTGGCAAGTTCTTCCACTGAGGCCTTCTGAAAATGAGATGCCATTTCTTCAAACTGTTTCCTACAGCCATCAGTGAAACAAAGCATAACTAATTATCCCAATAATGTAAAAAAAATAAACAAAAAAATGGATGGATATCTTACAACATGAATCAGTAACACTAATTTCCAGGTGTCCAGAAAAAAGAGAATTCAGAATTATTGCCAAGCCATGGTTTACAAAGCCTTAGTTTAAAAAAGCTGATATAACATGGTTTGCAAAAACATGAGGTGAGTTTCACCTAATGAGTCCCAGCAGTGGAAGTCCTGTGGGACTTTTCCTCATCTCCTCCCCCCAATTATTGGCTAGACAATAAAAGTTCTTCTAAAAATTGCAATTCCAACCATTAAAAGGAGGACACAATTCCAGCAACACTAAACTACTGTGGAAAAATTTCAGGATACATCAATATTATGTTTTAGACATGATCACTCTAATAGAAAACTAGAAGAACCGACATGCTCTAACTTCTCAGGAAAGCTGAGCAAACCTGACTGAAGGTATTTGCAATGCACCATCAGAACTGCTCATTTTGCTGTCTTTCCACAATATTTTCTGTTGTTTATTCCCAAAAAGTTACACTTAAAATCACAAAGGCTTCAAAACAATACTGCTTTTAAACATAACATTATTAATAATCCCCACTGAAAGCTAAAGTTTATATAAAGCAAACTATGAAAAAACAGAAATGGAGGTCATTTTTGCAAATTGTATTCTTACCTGCGGATTCTTTGGGGTGTTTTTCCAACCAGGAAGGCAATGGAGCCAACTCGGTGAACCTCCTTCTTCTTTTGACAGACAGGATGTCTAATGTAAAGTACTGAAGGTTTGCTGGTTTCATTTACTGAATTATCCTTTTTGGTGTTCTTCTTCCTTGAGAAAGCTTCCCACGGACTCTGCCTGCTTTTCTAAACCAAATGTGAAATATAACATGTTAGTCGTTTTTCACCTAACTTTTCTCCTATGCTCCTAGCTGAGGCTTGGTTTTGGGTTTGTTTGTTTTTTTACAGGGGACAGATGTGGCCTTTTTGAGTTGTTAAGGTCAAGGTCCCTCAACAGCTGTTTGATATTTCTATTAGGAAATCGGACTGCTATGTTTTAATAAGTGATAACTTGTCCCTGGAGCCCTAACATGTCAAAAAATGCTTTGTGAAAAACCATCACTTTCAACTGTCTCTGTATTCAGTATACAGTTAGGTTGCTGACACCAAAAAAGGGTGCCTTCTAAAATGGGAGAGGGAGAGGGAGAGCTAGTCATTGAGAAACTGGTCGTGTACACTTCATTATTATGGTCTCATTTATGCACCACTTTTCCACAACAGGCTGCATTCAAACAGCGCACAAAAACAAATTATTATTATTATTATTATTATTATTATTATTTAGTAGCATATTTATTTAAATGTTAATAAGTTGTACATTCATAAAAATACACTATGCACAATTACAGTAAGAATAATTAAAACAATGGTAATAAATATTGGCTGGTAAAATATAATTCAGATTGCAGAGTAACATCATTTTAGGGGGTGTTTCAAATGAAGAAGAACCGATTTCCTGCTGTTTTTGCCCCCAGGTTTCTCAAAGCAACCTGCACAATGAAAACGGAAATAATGAAGACAACAACAACAACAACAGTCATCTAAAATAAAATAAAAATAAGTATGTAAAATTTAAAATACAATAAAATTAACTGTAAGAAGTCTGAACGCTGCAAACTAAGCAACATCATAAAACAGAATGGTAAGCACTGAAAGCCAGTCTGACAGGAGTAGCCCAGAGACTGCAGAGGCTTTCCCTGGTGCTTGTTGTTGTTTAGTCATTTAGTCGTGTCCAACTCTTCGTGACTGTATGGACCAGAGCACGCCAGGCACTCCTGTCTTCCACTGCCTCCCACAGTTTGGTCAAACTCATGCTGGTAGCTTCAAAAACACTGTCCAACCATCTCGTCCTCTGTCGTCCCCTTCTGCTTGTGCCCTCCATCTTTCCCAACATCAGGGTCTTTTCCAGGGAGTCTTCTCTTCTCATGAGGTGGCCAAAGTATTGGAGCCTCAGCTTCAGGGTCTGTCCTTCCAGTGAGCTCTCAGGGCTGATTTCCTTAAGAATGGATAGGTTTGATCTTCTTGCAGTCCATGGGACTCTCAAGAGTCTCCTCCAGCACCATAATTCAAAAGCATCAATTCTTCGTCGATCAGCCTTCTTTACGGTCCAGCTCTCACTCCCATACATCACTACTGGGAAAACCATGGCTTTAACTATACGGACCTTTGTCAGCAAGGTGATGTCTCTGCTTTTTAAGATGCTGTCTAGGTTTGTCATTGCTTTTCTCCCAAGAAGCAGGCGTCTTTTAATTTCATGACTGCTGTCACCATCTGCAGTGATCATGGAGCCCAAGAAAGTGAAATCTCTCACTGCCTCCATTTCTTCCCCTTCTATTTGTCGCTGGTGCTTACCTATTCCAACAGTAATATAACATACCTCACTGAATAGCACTTGCAGTTTCTGAGCAGCCTTCAAAGATATCCCTGCATATCACACATTTCAAAATATTTATTTATTAAGCTGTGTACCAACATCACCAACAGTTTCAACTTCTCCCTTTTCAGTGCAGTCGATCCAGAAGGTCCACGCTATAGGCAGCAACCCACAGTCTCCTTGATCAACAAACACATAACCCAAATTTCACTTAGCTAAATTGTCTGCTGTGCCACAGAAACTTTGGTCTTTGATTCCCTGGTTCTTCTTTCACCCAGCCACCTGCCCTGGTATCCCTGTTAACCCATAGAAGGGTGCAGCCCCTACAGTGTCAATTCATAGGGGATGCAGACATTTAGCAAAGGATGGTGCTTATGGTATGGCAGCTGTAGCCTCACAGATGGGCTGCTGTCTATAGCCTCTGGCTGCGGTGAGCTAAGCATTATCATGTTCCTGCAACTGTCTGGAAACCTAGAGAGATGAAGGGTCATGGTAATGCTTGCCTCACCAATGTAACTCTTCAAAGGAATAATGGCACCAACAGCAAGGTGACCCAGCAAGGCGTAATCAGAAGATATATGCAATACAGTTCAGAACTTTTTACGTCTACCTTGGTTAGGGGTCTTCCTTTTTCACTAGAGATTTTCAGAGCCAAACCAATACAACTAGCTTTATGGGAGGGACATTTAGAGGAGGGAGTGGGAGGAGTTGTTTATTATTATTATTATTATTATTATTATTATTATTATTATTATTATTACAGTGGTACAGTGGTACCTCCGGTTGTGGATGGGATCCGTTCCAGAGCTCCGGTCAGATCCCGAGGTTTCTGCAACCGGAGGGACCACTTCTGCACATGCATGCGTGGTGGAAGAGCACTTCTGCGCATGCACGTGGCACGGTAGAGCACTTCTGTGCATGCACGTGTGGCAAAACCCGGAAAAATACTTCCAGGTTTGCCGTGTTCGCATCCTGAAGGATAAGCAACCAGAGGTGTGTATATCCAGAGGTACCACCGTATTATTTATACCCCGCCCATCTGGCTGGGTTTCCCCAGCCACTCTGGGCGGCTCCCAACAGAATATTAAAAATGTGATAAAACATCAAACATTAAAAACTTCCCTAAACAGGGAGTTGGCTGAACTCCATCTATCCCGCAAGTTGGGCTTCCAAAAAATCTCTTCACCATAGTTACCACTTCCCTCACATACTTGCTTCCCCCTAGGTTAGCAATCTAGGGCTGGATTTTGACCTGGGGACTCCAGTTCCCAATCCACATAGTTTTATATCAGCCACTGCAGAAATCACAGGGGTATTAACATTTAATAATGGTATTAATGGAAAACAAACCAGCATATCACCTTTCAAAGATTTTTAAAACATCAGAATGTTCATTTATTCATCTCATTCATTAAACAGTAGCAAATGCTTTGACCAACACGTATGTTTAAATGTAAAAGGTGGTTTTTTTTAAGTCTGTTTGGAAAATAGCCAAATTTTGTGTTTGTAATGGAACAAAATTACTGGTAAAACTAATACTGTTCACTGTAAATAAATACCCAGATGGCACCCATAGTTGGAAAAGGACAAAAACAATTCTAAATGTGTCTAAAACAGTTTTGTGTTCTTCCCCCTGCCTCAAGAAACTTTTCACAAAATCAACTGTTAGAAAATTTCTGCCTGGAGGGTAACAAAAAAAAGTTGCTGTAAAGACAGTATCATGAATTGCCCTTGAAGTAGCTTTACTCAGCCTTCTAGATAAAATCCACCTGACTAAACAGACCCACCAGCAATGTCTGTTGATGCAGGATTTCTGGGTCCAGAAAAGAAAAGAAAAGAAAAGAAGTTTTTAAACTTTTAAAATGCAACACATCCATCCAAACTAACATCCAGAACGTTTTCACAAGTGACAATCAAGTACAGTGGTACCTCGGCTTACAAACCCAGAAGTAGTACCTCAGGTTAAGAACTTTACCTCAGGATGAGAACAGAAATCGCACGATGGCGGCATGGCAGCAGCGAGAGGCCCCATTAGCAAAAGTGGTACCTCAAGTTAAGAACGGTTTCAGGTTAAGAATGGACCTCTGGAACGAATTAAGTTCGTAACCAGAGGTACCACTGTATTGAGAATTGCCAAAATTTCAAGCTGGAATGTGTGCAGAGGAGGGCAACCAAGATGATCGAGTGTCTGGAAACCAAGCCTTATGAGGAATGGTTGAAGGAGCTGGGTATGTTTAGCTTGGAAAAGAGGAGACTGAAATGAGATATGATATTAATAGAATATATGGAAGATAAGGTAATGATATGTACAACTTTTAACATGCAGAGAATAACAAGTGCAAACAAATCAGAGAAGGGAGCTGAGGGAAGTCTCGGGAGGGAGGGAGAGGGAGGGATGCGGGGAAGGGGGGTAATAATGTAATTGACTATTTGGATTGATAATTTGTTTTGTTGAAATTGTTTAATAAAAATATATTTTTTTAAAAAAAAAGAAAGGAGATATGATAGCCATCTTAAAATATCTAAAAGATGAAGCAAGCTTGTTTTCTCCTGCTCGGGAGGCTAGGGCCAGAACCAATGGATTCAAATTACAAGAAAGAAGATTTTGATAGCTCAGGTGGTAGAGCATGAAACTCCTAATTTCAGGGTTGTATGTTTGAGCCCCACATTGGGTGAAAGATTCCCAGAATCCAGGGGATTGGACTAGATTACCTTTGTGGTCCCTTCCAACTCTACAAGTTTATGACTAAACATCAGGAAGAACTTTCTGGCAGTAAGAGCTGTTCAACAGTGGAACGGACTCCCTTGACAGGTTGTGGAGACTCCTTCCTTGTAGGTTTTTAAGCAGAGGTTGGATGGCCTTCTGTCATGGATGCTTTAGTTGAGATTTTTGCATAGTAGAGGGTTGGACTAGTTGAACCTTGGGGTCCTTTCCAACTCTACAAGCACCAAACTCTCATATCAACTCAAACTATACTCAACTATGGACAGAGAGCCAGTGTGGTGTAGTGGTTCAGAGCGGTGGACTCGTAATCTGGTGAACCAGGTTTGATTCCCCGCTCCTCCACATGCAGCTGCTAGGTGACCTTGGGCTAGTCACACTTCTCTGAAGTCTCTCAGCCTCACTCACCTCACAGAGTGTTTGTTGTGGGGCAGGAAGGGAAAGGAGAATGTTAGCCGCTTTGAGATTCCTTAAAAGTAAAGGGACCCCTGACCATTAGGTCCAGTCGTGGCAGACTCTGGGGTTGCGGCGCTCATCTCGCTTTATTGGCCGAGGGAGCTGGCGTACAGCTTCCGGGTCATGTGACCACCATGACTAAGCCGATTCCGGTGAAACCAGAGCAGCGCACGGAAACGCCGTTTACCTTCCCGCCGGAGTGGTACCTATTTATCTTCTTGGACTTTGACGTGCTTTCAAACTGCTAGGTTGGCAGGAGCAGGGACCAAGCAATGGGAGCTCACCCTGTCGTGGGGATTCGAACCGCCGACCTTCTGATCGGCAAGTCCTAGGCTCTGTGGTGTAACCCACAGCGCTACTCATGTCTGAGACTCCTTAGGGTAGTGATAAAGCAGGATATCAAATCCAAACTCTTTTCTTCTAAATGAAATTCTGAGCCTCTGCATAGTACAGATTCAGGGGTGCACTTGTAATAAGGCAACAGGTCAATCAAGGGCAAATCTTCCTCTATGGGTAGGCAAACTAAGGCCCGGGGGCCGGATCCGGCCCAATCACCTTCTAAATCCAGCCTGCGGACGGTCCAGGAATCAGCGTGTTTTTACATGAGTAGAATGTGTGCGTTTATTTAGAATGCATCTCTGGGTTATTTGTGGGGCATAGGAATTCGCTCATTATTATTTTCCAAAATACAGTGGTATCTCAGGTTACAAACGCTTCAGGTTACAGACGCTTCAGGTTACAGACTCCGCTAACCCAGAAATAGTACCTCAGGTTAAGAACTTTGCTTCAGGATGAGAACAGAAATCGCACAGCAGCGGCGCAGCGGCAGCGGGGGGCCCCATTGGCTAAAGTGGTACCTCAGGTTAAGAACTGTTTCAGGTTAAGAACCGACCTCCAAAGTTCTTAACCCGAGGTACCACTGTATAGTCCAGCCCCCCACAAGGTCTGAGGGACAGTGGACCAGCCCCCTATTGAAAAAGTTTGCTGAATCCTGGTACCAGCTTCTGCTTCCCAGTAACCACCTTGCATTGAGCTAGATTATCAGAGACATGATAATCTGTTTGGTTGCTCATCTCAGACTCAAGAATAGAGTTGCACTTATTAATGCAACACTTGTTTGCACCATGGTCCTGACCATCACTGAAGTTCAGAAAAGGCTTCATCTCCAAATTCTAATCCTTTTAGAAATAGTTCGACATTAAAAGCCAAAGCACGCATCATCAGATTAAACATCAGCACAACAGTCCCTCTAGCAAACATGAGTGGCTTCACCATACCAACCATTAAAAAAACTCCCACAGTATCACTTAAAAGACGTCTAAAATAGGTTAGCTATTTGTTGTGCAGTGAAACTGGGATGTTCAATTGTGGGGATTTTGTGCTGTGTTTTATTTTTGTTTCTTGTTTGACTCACTGTCATGGGCCAAAAAGACCATTGGAAAACCTATGGGCTGTGCATCCTCTTTCAGCTTTCTTGGCCGAAACTAAGATCTGCACAGATGCTCTACGTTCAAATCTACTGCAGCTGACAGAAATCCTTTTGTTTACATGACCTATGAAAAATACCTTTGTATGTAATACAAAATACAAGTGGCACAAAGGGTTCTTAATAACGCTACTTTTGTATTTACAGTACTCCACAGAGCCCTTAAACCTGCACTGGGCATAGAAAGGGCATGTCGTTGAACCCCGGGCTGACAGAATGCTTAGTTCCCTCATTTACACCACACTGCAATAACATAAAGAGGGTTTTACCATTAATCCAGGTTTTACTACAAAGCATCCTGTTATTTCTCTGTCAAAACACTGTCAAGAGTGCCAAGTGTCTGTCATCCAATTCAGGGGATTAAGTCTTCTTTTATAGTGCGATACTTGTACAAATTTATAAAAATACAGATATAGTTTCTTAGGGCTGGTCATAGTCTGTATTTTGGACTGGATTCACTCCGCAAAGGTTGGGTATGACAGCTGGCAGGAAGCTGAGGGGAGAATACATCCTCCCCCTTTTCAGTCACCACATTTCAGTTGCCATAGTGATTAATCCTCCATTCAATGGCTGTCTTTGTATATTCCTTTTCAGTAAAACTTTAAGTAAACTTAAGTTGAAAACAAGCAATTGATTGGGGGGGGGGTGGAGCCTCCACATAAAACCAAGGTAAAGTATTTTAAAAAGCAAATTAATTCTAATGTGGAATATTATTTCTTCAAACCTTTGAAATGTATCCTGTTTCTTTTCATATAATTATTTTTCCTCCTTTTTGCTACCAAGGATAGGGATGGGTGGGTATTGCTTAAAGAAGATCTCTTACACATAGTGTTCAAAGGAGCCAAACAAGGGCCTTTCCAGAAACCAGTAATTTCGAATTCTTATTTAGGCTGTTTCACAGAAGCTGTTTTTGCCAATTAACACATAAATTAATTAAGGAATCAAATAGGGAACCCAGACATCCAATTCAAAATAGATTGGAAACAGTAGAAGAGGATGTTTTCCCTGACTCCAGAAGGCTCAAGTTACTTTTATGTTGTTGGGGTTTTTTATTTTTCAAAAAAGGATGCAGGCAACCTTTAAAACAAAATAAATTAAAGGAAATAAACCTGGAACACCCAATATTCAGACCAGTCAGAATGCGATGGCTTTCCCCCCAACATAGCTGTAATGTAAGCAAAGTAGAAATAAAAGCTTAAGAAATATTTAGTGGACATTTTAGTTGGCACACTTCAGTTAGAAAGGATATATCCAGTTTTATTTAACTCTACCCCATAAGGGTATTCTTCCATTTTGTTCCTATGTATTCAATTTTGAATGGAAACAGCCATTATTATTATTATTATTACCTTGAAATGTTTTCAAATTAGATATACCTCCTCAAACAATGACGAAACATACATACATAACAATATACAGTAGTACCTCGGGTTACATACGCTTCAGGTTACATACGCTTCAGGTTACATACGCTTCAGGTTACAGACTCCGCTAACCAAGAAATAGTGCTTCAGGTTAAGAACTTTGCTTCAGGATGAGAACAGAAATTGTGCTCCAGTGTCACAGCAGCAGCAGGAGGCCCCATTAGCTAAAGTGGTGCTTCAGGTTAAGAACAGTTTCAGGTTAAGAACGGACCTCCGGAACGAATCAAGTACTTAACCCAAGGTACCACTATATTAGTATTTGCAGAAGGAGCAGTAGCAGAGCTGAAAGAAACTGAAGCAAGATCATCTGAAATTGATCTGATATCCACCACAGAGGCACCAACTCTATTGGCCTGAGGTGTTTTCAGCTTGGTTGGGATGGGGCTGAGGCACCCACAATCTGAACGGGGCAGAGGGGGTAAAGCAAAGCCCCTCTGCCCAGCACCTTTCTCACAATGGGGCGGCCAGGACCATCCGGAGTGTCCCGGGGGTATTGCACCACAAGGGTGGGGGCCCTGCAAGGCTGCCTGGAGCGGTGGCAAAAGGACAGTTCCCCTCTCTGGGACGGGTGATAAGTGAAGTTTATAGCATCTTCCCATGACCTAAAGGAGAATCTGCTACAGATGAAATTTTAGTTTATTTTCAACTGGGCAGTCCTCCAGACCACAAAACCTACCACAGTTCAGAGATTGCTGTGTTCAGTTTTCGGGGCCCAGGGTTCAGAACAATTTCCCGTTGCGTAAAACAGCTTATACAGGCAAGGACACCCACAAATCCTTTTATTAATGTAGTGTTAAATCTGAAATTTCAAAACTTTCAGGAGTCACACAAATCAAAATTGCTTCACACACACCCCCCGCCCCCCGGAAACTATGCATCAGAAAAATCCCTCCCATAACCTGGTCCATTAATCCTTAGGCTATGCAACATAGTTTGCAGCAAACAAGACACTATGTTGCTTTTAGTACTGTACAGGCAACTCCCCATTTACGCAGGAGTTACGTTCCGAGGCACCACACGTGAAATCGCATATACCGTAGATTCTGGCGTATAAGATGACTTTTTAACCCCAGAAAAGAGGTTAAAAAGTCGGGGGTCGTCTTATACGCCGGGTACGGGCAGCGGGCTCCGCGCTGGGAGGAAGCCAGGCGGTGGGCTTATAACACGAGCCAAGATTTATTTTTTAAAAAACATGAATTGTATGTAAAAGCAGATTGTATATATAAGCAGACGGCTTAAGCTGCCCACCCACTTCATTCAGTGGAACCGAAAGAAGACTAACTTCCTCTTAGACTGTGTCCATTAAGAATAAGTGAATAGCCAGCAGAAAAAGATAAGAGACCAGAACAGCCGTGATTTCCTAGTTCATGAAACGTTCTTTGAGTTTATTACAGGGGCTGAGCTAGAGGAAAGAAGAGGAAAGCAGAGAGAAAGTGTAGTTTTTTAAAAAAAAATTATATGAATCATCAGCAATTAAACGGCGCACATGAAAATTAGCCATACACTGAGGACATAGCAGTCAAAGACTGCAGAAAGATTAATGGCTTTGTCAAAGTATGTGGTAAAGGCAGTAAATGAAATCACTAGGCATTTCCCCACCACCACCAACAGCCCTGAGGTTCCATTTCCTGTTCAGACTTCTGTCCAAGTAAGTATCTAATGCACATCAAGAATCTGGCAACTCCATCTCCACAGACGGGGTGGTGCATGTGGTGCCAAGCCATGTCCTGGCAAGGTATGATTCTTAACAACCATTACGTTGTTGTCTCCTGCTTCTATCCCTGCATTTAACACTTTCTGGGACAAGTAAGGTTAACATATATTGCAGCCTCGCAATGTAAGTGGCTTGCAAAGGCACTGTTTGAGAAATGATGCACCGTAGGTTTTAAGGTTTTCTTGCACTGGTGTTTTTATGCGCTGGTGAACTAAGTGGGCAGGATCATGAACAGAGATAGCAAGATAGGGGAGCAAGATCCGATGGTCCCAGTGAGGATTGTGTGCTCAGATAGCAGCTGGGTCACAAAGGAAAAACTGGAATCAGGGTCAGAGATTGCAGGGGCAGCAAATCTTCAAAAAAAGATTCTCATTTCTTCTCTTCCGTGAGCTTTTGCAAACCTGCAGGAGTCTTCAGGGATCTGTGTGTGACTATAGAGCTGATATATCTGTATACTTATACTACTTTGAGCATTAATATTTTTTATAATTTAGAAAAACTACTAACTAACATACATTACTAACAGCAATGAAAGCATATTACTGGCTTATAAATCATTTGGAGACTATTTTGTAGTGAACAGCTAACAAGTCAAATAAATAAATATCATACAGTATAATTAATCTTATACAGCACATATAAATCTTAAAAATCTTATACTGCGCACATATATATATATATATATACACACACACACACACACACACACACACACACACTGCACATATAAATCTCTGGCGGGATAGAGGTACAAAATAGTTGTTTAAAAAGCAGATCCACAGCACATACCTAAAGCATTTCAGCAAACACTTTAAAGCATACGACTTCCCCCAAAGAATGCTGGGAACTGTAATTTCAACCTCACAGAACTACAATTCCAAACATCCTTAAACTACAGGCACAATGTTTCACTGGGCAAAGCTGTGTGCTTCACATGAGTGATAGATGTGCTTAAAATGCATTGTGTGGATCTGCTCTTAGTATTGGCACATGAGGAGGAAATAGATGAATTGCCTCATTGGATGTGTCACTATCAGTCCCACACGCCAGTCCTGTCAGCAAAAACTCTATCCCTGCAAAATGAAACAGATGCAGCTTTCCCCAATGCTGAATCCCTAATCTGGGAAAGCTACAGATTTTCCAGGCATAGCCTTCCCTGAAGCTTTTGAAGATGCAGAAACCATTCCACAGGGAACCCTACACACAGTTTAAGCACACAAAGAATGTGTAAATGGGAAAAGTACGACTGCCAACTTCTTTCTAGCTGTCTTTCCATGCCATTGACAGTAGCTGACAAAGAAATTAAGTAGGTCAGATTTTCCTCATCACTCTATCTCTCTGCTAGGAAACGCTTTCTTAATTTCTTCATAAAAGCTACTGCTAAAGGGGCAGATACTTTGGTTCTTTAATCTGTATGATATGGCACTTGTGACAGTTAAGACTCTGAAAGCAATTCGGGGAGAGTAACAATAGGTTGTATCCAACGAAGCTGTGCCACTAGCACAAGACCTTCCACCTACACAAACAGAATTCCTCCTTCTTGACCGGGGCAGCTGGGTTTCTTCAAACCTTCTCCAGCAGATCTGAACAGGGTGCAAGAGGAGAGGAGGGATGGATGTCCCGTTGCGCAGGTGGAAGTCCTTGCACCTAATGGGAAAACTCCATTGGGTACAACCTGATATTTGCATCAACATGTGAACTGCTCTGGGAACAAGAAAAGTTTTACAATGCAGTTTTTGTGGAAGATGGTAGCTGTCAGTTTGGCTGGGATTAAAAGCTTCTCTGACTTGAAAGCTGACCTCAGGGATGTCTCAGAAGAAAGGGAACCAAAGGAGAAGAGAATCTAGGGGGCGGGGGGAAGAGGGTTTGAGAGAAAGGACTTCAGGCTCCAGGTTAGGGAGTCAAGTAGCATATGACTGCCATGTCAGACACCGAGAGCTCTCCTGTGTCTGCAAAAGCAGTGCAGAAGGAAGATGTTTGTCCGGTGCAGTTTCTACCATCACTGTAATGTTGTGGCCTATAAATCCTAAACTGGAAATAGAAGCCAAGAGACAAAGGAGGATGTGTGCTTAAATATATACAGTGGTACCTCTGGATGCGAACGGGATCCGTTCTGGAGCCCCGTTAGCATCCAGAAGCGAACGCAACCCGTGTCCATGCGCCGTGATTCGCTGCTTCTGTGCATGACGTCATTTTGACCGTCTGCTCATGCGCAAGCGGCGAAACCCAGAAGTAACGCACTCCGTTACTTCCGGGTCGCCACAACGCGCAACATTAAAATACTTATCCCGAAGCTACTTCAACCCGAGTTATGACTGTACATTAATGAAATTAAGCAACACATGCATAGGAGACAGGCTTCTAGGTCTGCATGTATTATCAAACAAAAATAGGGAAATGGTATGCTTTTTTGACAATATTGTTGTTGACATCCATCTGCCTCAAGAGACAATGGCGTGTGCCTCTGGGGGTGAAGTCAAACCGCTGTGTTAGCAGTGGCCTTCTCAGGGCGCAAGCTTGGGCAGCGTGCATGGAGGTCCTGGCTGCCCAGATGACAAGACCCTGGCCTCGCTGATGTGGTCCAAAGGAAAGCAGAGCATGTGCTTTACAATATTAGTTTTTTTTTTTTTAAAAAAGTACTGCAAACAAAGGTACACAACATATCATCCTTGGGATGTCCGTTAAATATTTCCCAGTGAAAATATATTTTATCTTTTGTAACATATTATCCACCGAACTCCTAGCTCCCTTGATACAAAAATAGCAGCAAGCGCTTTGTTTGGACTCTGTTGGAGGCACCTTGTCCAAGGAACTAGGCCTCTGATCACTCACGGTTGCTAATATTGAAAAAGGCAGGTTTAAAAAGCAAGGGAAATACTGAGGTTGAAAACCAACAACAACAACAGAAAGAGAAAACATTCCACAAATCCTTCTCTTTACCTTGGCAGGGCGTACTGCTACATTTGCAGGGAGCTGCGAAAACTGCTGCAGTTCAAACACATCTTGCACCGCCCACCGACTCATCTGATTTTCCGCCTTGCTTGAACCAACCACGTTTTGATTTGAGTGAACATACGACACTTCTGCAACATCACCTATCAGTTGAAAAAGAAACACAAGAGTTCCTTCATCTAAGGATACAACACGATTGGCAGGTAGGCATTCAATGAAACCAAAGGAAACTTTGCACCAGAAGGCATTGTTAGGGGAAGACTGAGCCCTGAATCTCCTGCCCTTTCCCTCTTTTTTTAAAGTCCTTTTTTAAAAAAAACCCACAACACTATTTGTATACAAAACAGTTCTCTTTCTGAACTTTGGTCTGTGTTTGCATCTACATTTAAGCAAATTTTAAGCTTCGTGAGCTTGTTCTTGAGCCTCTAAGGATCCTAAAGGTAAAGGCAAAGGGACCCCTGACCATTAGGTCCAGTCGTGGCCGACTCTGGGGTTGCGACGCTCATCTCGCTTTATTGGCCGAGGGAGCCGGCGTACAGCTTCCGGGTCATGTGGCCAGCATGACTAAGCCGCTTCTGGCAAACCAGAGCAGCGCACGGAAACGCCCTTTACCTTCCCGCTGGAGCGGTACCTATTTATCTACTTGTACTCTGACGTGCTTTCGAACTGCTAGGTTGGCAGGAGCTGGGACCGAGCAACAGGAGCTCACCCCGTTGTGGGGATTCGAACCGCCAACCTTCTGATCAGCAAGTCCTAGGCTCTGTGGTTTAACCCACAGCGCCACCCGCGTCCCTTCACCACCTGCGTCCCTTCTAAGGATCCTAGCAACTCTTAATTCACCCAAATGTGCCTGGTTAGCAGAACGCACATTTCAAACCAACAACCTTGAACTTTTAACCTTTTAAGGAAGATTAACCTCTCTTAAGGTGAAACCCAAACCCACTTTTGTGCTGTGCTTGGCAGAGGGCTGAATTGGGCAAAAGCTGTCCCTCCACCCAGCTCTGCTGGTGTCCACTTACAAAGTGATGCCAGCACCCTGTTCTGGCAGGTCAACAAGCCGATAGGCAGAAGAGCTGATGCCCAGGGGTGGAGGAAGGGGGTGCGGTGGGTGCGGTCCGCCCCGGGTATCACCACTGAGGGCAGTGACAAAATAATTAAAATAATAATATAATAATAATTTATTATTTATATTCCACCCATCTGGTTGGGTTTCCCCAGCCACTCTGGGGGGCTTCCAACAGAAATATTAAAATACAGTAACCTATTTAACATTAAAAGCTTCCCTAAACAGGGCTGCCTTCAGATGTTTTCTAAAAGTCTGGTAGTTGTTTTCCTCTTTGACATCTGGTGGGAGGGCATTCGACAGGGCGAGTGCCACTACCGAGAAGGCCCTCTGCCTGGTACCCTGTAACTTGGCTTCTCGCAGTGAGGGAACCACTAGAAGGCCCTCGGAGCTGGACCTCAGTCTCCGGGCAGAACGATGGGGGTGGAGACGCTCCTTCAGGTATACTGGACCGAGGCCATTTAGGACTTTAAAGGTCAGCACCAACACTTTGAATTGTGCTCAGAAACGTACTGGGAGCCAGTGTAGGTCTTTCAAGACCGGTGTTATATGGTCTCGGCTGGACGTCACTCACTGCAGGGCCTGCAGCGCATCTGAGCCACAAGTCTCTCCTGCCCAAACGGTCTGCCCGCTGCCTCTCCCCCAGTTGTAGGGCAGCTGAGTGGGAGGAGGCAGGCAGGCTCCGGAGGCCCCACGGCTTGCCCCGCCCTCGCCCTGCCCCTGGGCACGTCGCCCCAGGCGCCCAAGCAGCTTCCTCCGCCGCTGCTGATGCCCACAGCAGCCAGTGGGAAGTTCCAAAATGGGGCACTCTGGAGGCAGGAAGAGATATAGGCAGGGCCAGTCCAAGATCCATTAGATCCCAAGTCAGCCCCACTGCTGTCATGTGACGGCATCAGCCCAAATCCAGGCCTGATTGCTCTTTGCCTGCCCTGCTGACAGATGCATCTGAGCTGTGGATCTTTCACTCTGTTAATCCTCATTGGGCAGTACCCCAGGGTTTGGACTGCACTCCTAAATAAGAACATGAAATCTCTGTTGAAAGCAGCAAAAATTTGGAAGCAATTTTTGATCATCTTGAGATGCTAACGACACAAATGGTTCTGTATTGTCTATAAGTACATACAATTCAAACAGTGTTTGGTTAAAGGAAACACTCCACTATTTAGAGTCCAAACAGGTAGCATAAGAGCAACAGTGAATCTACCATATTTACTCAAATCTAATGCTCACCTTTTTTTGGCCAAATTACTTCGTGAAAATTAAGGTGCACTTTAGATTTATGGCACATTTACGTTTTCCAGCAAATCCTTTTTTTGGTTTCAAGGTTCTGAAAATGGAGGTGCACATTAGATTCGATGGTGCATTAGACTCCAGTAAACATGGTAGTATGACCAATAAAACAGAAGAAAGTTTTAACTTGAAATAAAGCTTAGTTTAGACTGTAATGCAGACTGGCAGTAAACCTGTCTCAAAAGCTCCCCTTATTCTAAGCGCTAATGGCAATTTCAAAGAAAGCTTTAATTGTTGATATAGGATTATGAGACAGCTAAGGCTTTGTCTTCACCAATATTTGTTTTTGCTTTAGAAACAGGTCCTTACAATTATTTGACAAAATAATCCTCCAGGTTTGTATAGAAATTCTTTCCAACCCTGTCCTGCTGTAAATACACTCATCTGAGGAATTAGCGAAAACTCAAAGTGCCTTTGCTTTAAAGCATCATTCACAGAACCCTATTGGTTATTCTGCACTGTATGATATATTTGTAATTACCAAGAAGTCTGTCTAGGGATCCCACATTTTTTCCTTGGCTTTCAAATATTTGCTCGCTGAAAGAAGTCTGGCGCTTATCAGAATGGTTTCGTTTTCTCAGAGTCAAAGAGGGACTCTTAGGATACACTGGCGATTTGGGTTTAATTTGAATTCCACACCTCTCACTATTTAGCCTTTCTCTTCGTATATTAATTGGGAAACCGTCTTCTGGTGATGAGAACTCATCTATGTGAGAATCGGCATCGCTTTCCCCAACACTCAAATTGCTCTTGTGCAACGCAGTTCTTGTGGAGGAGGTATCAAGCCCCCTGTTACAGAACCGTTTTTCTTTCAGAATGCCGGTGAATTTCTGCTTTCCTGATCCAGACATCTCAACATCATCAGACTCATCACTGATATCACTTGCTTCTTTCACTGATGTGATCTTTCGGATGTTTTCCAATGGTGTCATTTTGCTGTAAGGTGACACACTCCTGCTGCTGTGCTCGTAAGTCAAATGCTTTTGCAGAGATGTACGCGTGGAGCCTTTTACCGTTCCTAAACATTCACAATTTGTTTCTGCGCCTTTACTGCTTTTAACAGATTTCTGGTCAGCAGGAACTTGAGAAGGAAATATGATATCATCACTGTCACTTGAACTGCATTCTGTCTCCATAACGACCCCAACTTGATTTAAAATATGCATGTCTTTGTATTTATTTCCAGGGTCCTTTTCTTCTTCAGGGTGTAGTGAAACAGGATAATCACAGTCTGTAGTTTCTCTATGCAACTCTTGTTTCGCAGCTTTGATTGGTGACAATAAGTCTCTCTCAGGTCCTGCAGTACTGCAGTGGTCCTCCGTTTTCAGGGAGCATTCATTTCGGGAGCTTTCTTTAGATATTTGCCACATTGATTTACCGCCAGCACTTTCACCACTGGAGACAGCAATGCAACTATCATCCTCAGTAATTTCAGTGCCCTTTTCTAGTAGTTTAGGAAACCCACACTGCAGCAAAGTAAGCTGTCCCTGCAGAACTTTGCTGTTTTTTGCATTGCAAGATCGGCTTTGTTCTGCTTTCACTTTGGAATTTCTCACAGGCTCCTCGTCACTGAAGTCACTGCCACAATCAAGCTCTTCCCTTTTCGACAGTTTCCTGGGGCTGGCAGTGTCTTGATCTTCACAACCAGCCTCTGCGTGCTGAAATCATGCGAGAAACAGGAAAATATGAAACAAAACTGCAATTTAAAACGTGTCTTCAAACTATCAGTGCTTACTTTCAATCTTCAAATGACATGCCATAGTCATAATTATTAAAATAGGGGGTGGGAGGAGCCTCCTGAAAACCTGTTCTAGTGCACTGTGGGATCTACGTAGGAACTGGAACAGGGGCTCCCCTCCCTCTTTCTACGGATTGCTGGATCAGAATTCCTGCCTCGGAGAGAAGGAGCCCTTCTATTTGAAAAGGATGTGCATGGATCCAGCTCATAAAATACAATTATCAGACATTTAAAAACGTAGGAAAACTGCATTATATATATATTTCTTTTTAAAAAAAACCACAACTAAAGTTTGTAAATGCTTCTAGATTACCTGCTTATTGACTCTTATTATCTGCTTATTGACAAACCATTCCCTCTGGTTTGTTACCTACTATTTGGTTATGGAGAAGCAACTTCCTCATTTTCTTACCATATCTTCCAATGTCTCGTTTTTGTGCAGCTTTTAAAGATGCATTATTATTTGACCCGACAGCAATCAAAACTAAACAGCTCAACTTATAGGCTGATGCTTACAGGGCAACTGGGAAGCAAGTCCAAGTCCATTCCGTAGGGCTTACTTTTCAATACACTTACAATACAGGCTTAATTGAATTATTTGTAAGAGGGCACACTGGAGAAGTAGCTAATCTTTAATGACAGAAACAAAAAACTTCTTGATAAAAAAAGACATTTTACTTATTTTTACAGGACTTGCTTGGATGTTTAATGGAGTCTCTGTTTTATTGTGTGACATTTTGATGATACCGCTTACAGTATATTTATGGTATAGTAGCTATGTGAGCTACATTGGACTTCTTTTAGAAAGGTTAAAAAAAATACACCTACACAAATAGCAAAACTAATTATAGATAAGCCAAGGTTCCCAATTATAAGAACATTAGAATTTAAAAGCAGAAAACAGGCCTTTCTAAAATGATGTAGAGTTATACCCATTTGTGCCCACCCCTCTTCTGATAGAAAGCTCTTTGATCCAGTGGAGGGAGGAAGCTGGTCCAGTCAAATGCGACTATGGGGTTGCGGCACTCATCTCGCTTTCAGGCCGAGGGAGCCGGCATTTGTTCACAGACAGTTTTCTGGGTCATGTGGCCAGCAAGACTTAACCGCTACTGGCACATGGAGGACCATGACGAATGCCAGAGCGCATGGAAACGGGACACCGGGACAGAAACCAGAGCGCACGGAAATGCCGTTTAGCTTCCCGCCATAGTGGTACCTATTTATCTACTTGCACTGGTGTGCTTTCGAACTGCTAGGTTAGCAGGAGCTGGGACAGAGCAACAAGAGCTCACTCTGTCATGGGGATGCGAACCGCCAACCTTCTGATCGGCAAGCCCAAGAGGCTCAGTGGTTTAGACCACAGCGCCACCCACCTGCTGGAAGGAAAAAAGCTTCCATCAGCCAAGGAGACACCATTAAACTCAACCTCTAATGGCCACATTTTCTTTATTTCTTTCACAAGTGTATGTTTTAAAAATACCAATAATTTGTTCTTAAATTCCTTGTTCCTCTCCATTTATTATTTGGTACGATGCACTGTTCTGCCAAAAAAATCACTTGGCAGATTCAAAATGAAAAAAGCCACCTAAGTTCATAAGCCAGAAAAGTAACTTTATACAATGTGCACAGAAATGTTTTGAAGTACGGAGAAGTTTCGGACACTTCTAACCCTGTCGTCCTAGGTTTTTTCCCTCCAGTTTCCTCCGGGTCTACTCCAACTGACAGCTCAAGACTTTACCACAGTTAGCAGATCCAAAATCTTAAAGCAGTACATTTTATAACATGTGAAAACAGAAAGGCAAGTTGATAATTTACCGTTTCTGCTGCGTCTCCCTGGGGTTCCTCTTTTAACCATGTAGTAGCTGTCATGACACCAGCTTCCACTTGGCCCTCTCTCTAAAAAATGAAGCAATTTACTAATGGTTAAGCTTACATCATGTAGACTCGCTGGTCTGATCAGTCACCTTTCTGCACATCAGTGCATGCCTGTTCTAGATACTAATAATGGAGACATTCTCTGAGTGCTGATCCTTGTGTAGCCAAAATGGCAACACAGACACACACACAGAGATATGTCAGGGCATCAGCAGGCCTGGGGGAATTGCTTTATTTGCATTCAAGGACAGAGTTAGCAGACCTTAATTCATAGCTGTCAAGCGTCCCTTATTTGGCGGGACAGTCCCTTATCCCAGCGCCATGTCCCGCTGCTGTCCCTTATTGATGATGTCCCTTAAATAAGATACTGAAGGTAATGGGGCCCTTTCTATGTCCAGCTGTCCTTTGTCAACAACAAATTGTTGCTGTTTTTTGTGTTGAATATATGCTTAATGGTAATTTATGGACCTAATAGGTATCTAAAGCCATTTGCACATAACAAAATATGTATTTTATCAAAGTAATTGTTGATCCCTTATTTTGGCTGCTGATCCCTTATTTTCGAGGCTGCTGGTCCCTTATTTTCAAATCCGTAAGTTGACAGCTATGCCTTAATTCCTGATATTTTCCTGGTTGGGGATTATATACAGTGGTGCCTCGCAAGACGAAATTAATCCGTTCCGCGAGTCTCTTCGGCTTGCGATTTTTTCGTCTTGCGAAGCACGGCTATTAGCGGCTTAGTGGCTATTAGCGGCTTAGTGGCTTAGCGGCTATTAGCGGCTTAGCGGCTATTAACGGCTTAGCGGCTTTAAGAAAAAGGAAACAAACTCGCAAGAACTCGCAAGACGTTTCGTCTTGCGAAGCAAGCCCATAGGGAAATTCGTCTTGCGGAACGACTCAAAAAACACAACACCCTTTCGTCTAGCGAGTTTTTCGTCTTGCGAGGCATTCGTCTTGCGGGGCACCATTGTATATATATATATATATACACACACACACACACACACATACACATACACATACACACAGTCGTACCTCGGAAGTCGAACGCCTTGCAAATTGAACGTTTTGGCTCCTGAACGCCGCAAACCCAGAAGTGAGTGTTCTGGTTTGCGAACGTTCTTTGGAACCCCAACGTCCGACGTGGTTTCCACAGCTTCCAATTGGCTGCAGGAGCTTCCTGCAGCCAATCGGAAGCCGTGCCTTGGTTTCCAAACATTTTGGAAGTCGAACGGACTTCCGGAACGGATTCTGTTTGACTTCCAAGCTACGATGTATGTGAATAATTAAAATATCCACAATGTGGCAACAAATGAGAGGGTTTTTCTCAGTAATGGTGCTCTGCTCAGGGAATGCCTCCTCCTCTCACATTCGACTGGCGCTATGATGGGTTTTCGACACTAGGCGGGGTTTTTTTTGTTTTAAACCATTCAGCTTGATTGGTGCAGATGGGCATCTCTGCCCTTGAAGGACTTGCTTAAGTTGTTTCTTGTTTGCTCTTTGGAACTATTCTGACTTTAACTGTATTTTATTTTGAATTACTACGATGTACCCTGATCTGGGAGCATATTCAATGAAAAACAGGTTAGGAGTTTCTCAAACAAATAAATATTAAAATATCAAGTTAATGTGGTGGTGAGGAAACTCGAGCCTTCAGAACTCTTCCCAGGTTATACCTTTTCTCTGTCTGGGGATATTCTGTGCCCTTCTCAAATACTTTTGCCTGGCTGGAATGTTTCTTTGAACTGTGAACATGCTGGTTGCTTGCTTGGGTGTAAAGATGGCCTTGGCCCAGTATACCTGAAGGAGCGTCTCCCCCCCCCCCCCCGTTCTGCCTGGACGCTGAGGTTCCCTCATTGCGCGAAGCAAAGCTACAGGGAACCAGGCAGAGGGCCTTATCGGTAGTGGCGCCCACCCTGTGGAATGCCCTCCCATCAGATGTCAAAGAGACAAACAACTACCTAACATTTAGAAGACATCTGAAGGCAGCCCTGTTCAGGGAAGTTTTTAATGTGTGACATTCTAATGCATTTTTAATCTTTGTTGGAAGCCGTCCAGAGTGGCTGGGGAAACCCAGCCAGATGGGTGGGGTACAAATAATAAACTGGAAGGTAGCCTACTGTACAAAGGGTTACACCAACTGCTCAGCCTACTTTTGCCTCTGGCCCCATTGGCCACCATTAGCATTTGCCCCCGCAAATGGATGCCCATTAGGGAATGCTGCCCTTGGACCAAAAAGTTTCCCCAGCCCCAAGTTAAGGAAAAGTTACACTAGCAACTAGACTGGATCTCTCTTATGTGGTGAGAAAAGCAATATTACTAACTTTACTGTTGTGAAAATCCTCCCACATTTCAAAACATGTGTTTCTTCACAAGCCTGGTAAGATATAGAGAAAAGACGCAGAAATATTCAAAAGGACAAAGGTAAAACACCACACCTCCAGAATCTCTTTTGTCAGACAGGATCCATGGTCCTGAAGCTTGAAAAGGTTATGAATACCAAAAAGTTCTCCTTGGTGTTGCTTTGATCCTTGCACAGCCTCAAAATACCGCTTGGCATTTTCACTTCCCACTACAGCACAATGCAGTTGCTAAAACAGAGTAGAACATAAAAAAAATAATAATAATAATTCAGGAGCGTGTTCCTGCAACATGTCAGAATTTCCTGGCATTTACAGTTTACGTGCAGATTTAGCCAGAGCAGGCAGAAATTCCTAAAAGAGTAAAATATTGTGTTTTATTTTCCCTGGCAGATGCCACCATTGTGGAGTAATATTAACCTGAATAATGTTATTGGAAAATAAAGAAAATGTGCTCTGAAGTCTCCCGTGTACCCTGTATAACATAGGAAACCAAATAACTGTGCTAATGTACTCCAGCAGATACACCGTTTTGCAACACACCCAGCTACATACTGCAAATAAAGAAACAAGCTAGGCAGTAGATTATCTCCAAGTGTAGGCCACAGCCCCACTGCCACCATCCTCAACAATCAAATGAGAATTTAGTTAACATGAGCTAGGGGAAAGCAATATATGATCCACAGGCTACATCTGCACCACCAAGGCTTTCATATTACTTGAGAAACAGCCTGCTTGTCCCTTCCTCATAGTCAACAGGCAAAATCCAATGTGGGACCACAACTGGTGAAAAAAGGCTTCCCACTACTCTCACTTTCCACCACCTTGCTGTAAAGCAATAAAATGCTCAGATCTGAGGCTGGTGGCACAGTATATAGCACAATAGGGGAAGACATTGGAGATAGGACGAAAATAAAGGCATCCTTTGCCGCTCATCCTTCCTGAAAAATCTACATGCCTGAAAAGCAATATGAAGCTCCTGTTCAAGGCTGCCTAGAGCCCAACACTGGAGAAATCCTTTTACAGATCTGCAACCTTTTTTTCAGGTTTCACCTGTTACTTACTATGTTGTACCATCTTGTGAGGCTTGTTGTCCCCTGAATTGCCAAATGCCAGAAAAAAATCTCCTGACCTCTCTGTTAAGCATAATCAGTTTAATTGACACAGAAATGGAAAATGTATGTGTATCAATGAGTTGATAATTAACTAACTGTTGTTTTCTGCTAGCTAACATGTGAGTGTTGTAACTTGAGATCAGATGACAAAAGTATTGAGTTGCAAATTCGCCATCTTGAAAGGATGGTGGCTGTTAGCCTTTCTCTGATATAGAACAAAAGGAGAGGATAGTGGCTCTCCAAAAAGAGCTGCATAGCCTTAGGCAGGCTAGAATAGGGGAGAGAGGCACCGTTTTAATTCTTGGAGCTACCTTTTATTTCTAAGATGCTGAGCCTGTGCTGGATGGCACATGGATATTTTAGATGCTTATGTTCTGTTTTTGAAGAGTTCTGCACGTAAAAGTTTGAATCATATTTTTATGGGTCTGGACAATGATTTCTTTCACCAGGAGTCAGGTCTTATGCTTCTAGTCGCTTCAAACTGCACGATATTAATATCTGCAATACTCTCTTCCTAATCTAACAAAAAGGTGTAATCACTTGCTGGTCAAAATCCTGGCACTATCGCAATTTAAAGTATAATTCGTTTGCAAAACGGCATTGTGATTGATTTATTGTTAAAGGTTTTACACAGATACATGGAATGACACCATCTGAAAATACTATTGGGAAACTTCACATGAATTTACAAGGCAATGATTTCAATCAAGTTTCTCAAACATACATTAATGCTGCCTGTAAGCTAATTAACAAAATGTAAAGCGGGCAGGATTTTTAAGAAAGTTTAAAGTCTTGTCAAAGGTAGTTGGCCTAAAAACTGATCTGTTTTGACAGTGTTTTTCTGTAAAAGACCTGAACTTCAGGACCTCTACAATTATTTATTCTGAACTGATCACATTACCAGCAATATTACTTTCCTCCTCCCCAAACAAACAGTGAGACCAGCACTAGTAACATTCATTATTTCAAATTATTTCAAGAGGAATATTAGCTGCAACTTGTGTAGAGAACAATTCATTTCCACATAGAATGTTTAAATTAAGTCGTACTCAGAATAGATCCACTAAAATTCATGAATTTAAGCCCATAAATGTCAATGGATCTGCTGCTCTGAGTAGGACTTAGTTGGATATAACCCAGTATTGTTAAAACCATTAAATGTTGGTTCTTGGGCGATTCTTACTTTAATTTTAATATTTTAACAGCCAGGTGTCAAGAGAAGGAGTTCAACGTTGAAGGAGTTTAATGTACATAACCCATTACTGAAAACACACAATAATAAGGTTCCTTGCAGAGGAGATTGCAGCTGCTGCACTCCTTCTCTGATCCTCCTGCCATAAGCTAGGTCATGGTTTAGTGATGTGGCTCTCCAGGCAAACCATGAGCTGTAAATCCAAGAATAAACCTTGGTTACCGCTTGTGATACATCTGGAGAGAGATCAATGAAGAGCCCAGGTTCAGAGAACACACTAAGTCAAACCGTGAGAAAATAAGTTTTAGAAGACCAGTGAACAATGTCAGAAAATTCTAATGTTTATCAGGGCACTTATTTATAAAACACCACCGGTGTATACGGCGTTTTACAATGTGATAAATAATAATAATATTAATTTATTATTTATACCCCAACCATCTGTCTGGGTTTCCCCACCCCCTCTGGGCGGCTTCCAACAGAATATTAAAATACAACAATCTATTAAACATTAAAAGCTTCCCTAAACAGGGCTGCCTTCAGATGTCTTCTAAAAGTCTAGTAGTTGTTTTCCTTTTTGACATCTGGTGGGAGGGTGTTCCACAAGGCGGGTGCCACTACTGAGAAGGCCCTCTGCCTGGTTCCCTGTAACTTGGCTTCTTGCAGTGAGGGAACTGCCAGAAGGCCCTCGACGCTGGACCTCAGGGTCCGGGCAGAACGATGCGGGTGGAGACGCTCCTTCAGGTATACTGGACCGAGGCCGTTTAGGGCTTTAAAGGTCAGCACCAACACTTTGAATTGTGCTCGGAAACGTACTGGGAGCCAGTGTAGGTCTTTCAAGACCGGTGTTATGTGGTCTTGGCGGCCACTCCCAGTCACCAATCCAGCTGCCGCATTCTGGATTAGTTGTAGTTTCCAGGTCACCTTCAAAGGTAGCCCCACATAGAGCGCATTGTAGCAGTCCAAGCGAAAGATAACTAGACCATGCATCACTCTGGCGATACAGTCCGTGGGCAGATAGGGTCTCAGCCTGCATACCAGATGGAACTGATAAACAGCTGCCCTGGACACAGAATTGACCTGCGCCTCCATGGACAGCTGTGAGTCCAGAATGATTCCCAGGCCGCGCACCTGGTCCTTCATGGGCACAGCTACCCCATTCAGGACCAGGGAGTCCTCCACACCTACAGGCAGGGAGAGGGTTCCATGCCCTAATGAACTTATAATCTAAATTTGTACAGTCAAGAGACTACAAAGGAAGTGAAGCAAGGAGCAAAGGAAAGAGAGAAGAGGAATGAGAAAAGAAAAGTATATAAAAAAGATTAATGTGACGCAAAGCAATTATATATGTACTTATGCTTCAAAATCAAAAAGCATGGGCACAAATGATATAAATGAATGTGAAACTTGATAAGTCATTGTAAGAACTAGGTGCTTCTTAAGAAATAAAGGGGCGTGTCAGAAATGTTTAGGTGTTTTATTATTTATGCCTCTGCCATGATAAATGTTGCCCTTTACTAGTTAATGATGAATTAAATGTGAACATTTATTTCAGGCACCCTGGTATATATTCTTTTGTTATATTCTCTCTAGGAAGAGTTTAAATTATATATGAGAATTATTAAATTAGCTTAAAAGCCATAAAGCAAAGATAAAGATTGCGTTATATTCGGTCAACTTTAATTTTTACACAAACGACTGGTTAACAAGTGCTGTGATTTGATATAAAAAATCAGCAATGTGAACAAAAACACAGTGAAAACCTTACCTGTTTATAAACCTGCCGTAAGTACATCATCTCCTCCACCGTCCCCAAAGAGATTAGCCGAAATACTTTCACATCCCTGCATTGGCCAATCCTGTAAGCTCTGAAAAAACCAAAGTCCAGGGTCAAAAAGAAGAAGAAAAGAGAAGGAAAAAAGAGAAGCAACATCTATATTTCAAAGTAACCAGTTTTTAGCAAGTTGACTGTACCTGTCAATGGCTTGAAGATCATTTGCTGGGTTCCATGTTGGGTCAAACAGAATGACAATATTTGCACCAACAAAATTGAGCCCCAGTCCACCAGCCCTTTATAACAACAGAAGAAACAAAGAGGTGAAGAAATGTGTGTGTTTTTTAAATGAGATCACCACTTGTATATAAAGTAGCATTATCTGTTACGAGCATTTTTCCTAGACAAACTGGCAGAAAGTTCTCAAGTTTCCAAAAGGCTATAAATAATGCCACTAACTATACTGCTTTCAGTAGAAACCACAAATAGCATTTCTCTCATCATAACGAACAAACTTACTGCAAGTTTCACTGTTCCTGTGCAATAGAGCTACTGTCCCATCATCTTCCATAATCTCACAACACTAGCGGTGGAAAGTGACATTCACATTTATTACACTACAAACAATGTACATTTTCCAACTATGTTGTTTTGTACAAGATACCTCAAGGTCACTTTCATTCTTCCCCAAAGCTATACAGGATGAAAGAAGGGGGTATAGAGGTTTACATTAACTATGTTGTTCCATTTACAGGAAAAGTCGCTTGCCACATTCAATTAAACTAATGGGCTGTACTTCAGTTTGAAGGGACAGGACACAATTTATGTTCACTTGGGTTGAGAAACTCCAAGGAAATGAAGCTTACTAAACTTTTAAAACGTTATGCTTCTACTTTCCTTGCAACAATTCTTTTCCACCACTTAATAAACTAGACCGAAAACCGTCCAAAATAAGCCATTAAGAAGACACTCTTTTAAATAAATTGGCTAAACCTCAACCATATTGACAAGTTTCACAGACAAGATGTGATGACTTGCTTTCATTAAAATTCTCAGAGTTTTTGCATGGATCAGAGATAAGTTACCCTGCATGTATTTTCCAGGGAGTAAAATTATATGTGTCAATGTGGCATTTTCCTCTCCAACAGTTGCATATTGAACACATTTTCCTTACAAATAAAGCAGCTCAAATTCTGGGTAGGCTTCAAAGATGAAATCGGAAGCATTTTGTAGGAATTTTACATCACATCAATAACATCACATGGGTGTGCAGTCTCTCTTTGAACCCAATCCACCAAATTCCAGTGAGTAATCCTATTACATTTCAATTGGCAGGAAATAACTTCAAGTAACTAAAAATACCCTCCCCATACCTTAGGTCTTCTCTTTTAAGAAAAGTTATTGGAATTAAAAATAGAAAACAAAAGAAACATAGTTGAGAAAAATTACGGGTTTTTAATTGGGCTTATTTTTTCCTGACACAATATTATTACTATATTTGATTACTTAAAATATGTATATACCACCTATTAGGATAACATCTCAAAGCAGTTTGCAATAAAATTCATAAAAAATGCTACTGTCTGAAACTAGCCCTATAAGTGGGAGGCCTTGAAGACTATTATACTGTATTGGTATTAAATACAGCAAAACAGAATGGTCTCTTTTGGGGGGCTTCGTGAGTGACAAACAAAATGGCATCTTGTGAACAGGGATGTGATATTGTGAAGGGCGAGTGAAAAATATAGACCGATTAACTCTAAGCATTAAATACAGCCGAGGCCATGACTGAATTTTTAATTGAATTTCTAAGTTTCTATTTGTGCATGTCACTACTAATTTCTTTCAAACGAAACTGAGGATGGTAGCTTTCAAAAACAACTGCATTCAAGATTATTCTGGTTCCAAAAGGGGAACAAAAAGGGGGGGGGCTTTATTTATTTAATATTATCACTCGTCATTTTCGATCTCAAGCGATCCTCAGAAAGGGTAGACGAAGATGAAGACCGAAGAAATATGGAAATACGTAAGGGATATGACTCATTTCTACCCTAATAGTCTTGATTGATGCAGTCTACTTCCCAGTCTTATAACAGCAGACAGCAATGTTATTGCTTCTTCCCAAGGAAGTGACAAAATGCAAGATCAATCAAGTGGGAGTGCAGTAAATTTGCTATAAATCTCTTAACTACCTAGACAAAAGCAGACACAGCGTTTTCTTACATTGTAGAAACGAGGCAAATGTTAACTTCTTCCATGCTGTTGAACTCTTTTACTATCTTGACCCTTTCCTCCGCTTTTGTATTTCCATCGAGTCTTCGGTAATCTAGCCCAGATGCCATGCAATATTGCTCCAGCACATCAAGCAACTGGTGGAAGAGGTGGGGAGACCAGGCAATTAGTACTATTTAAAAAGAACCACAATAAAACCGGCAGATCAAGTGTCTTGAAGGTCTGTAACAGCTCAGAGTTTTCCTACCATCGCTCTTTCTGCAAAGTCATAGAATCACAAATATTTAATTAACTTGCAGAAACACTTAACATTTTCCATTTTCCATTTACTGCAGTGGTATGTTTAAATAGTGTGTTGCTTTTCCAGTGGAAGCAACTATTAATTTGATATGGAGAACTCAGATAATGTTTTCATTCATTTTTTAATTCAACCCTGCCTTATCTCATGTGCCATTTCCCCAACTCCCATTAGTCAGTTGCAGGAATTCACACATAAGAGGAAGAGGCAAGACAGCTTGGCCTAGGCACTGACAAGAAAGTTTCACAGGATAACCCACATCTCTGCTCAGAAGTAAGTCCCACTGAGTTCAATGGGACTTACCCTCTGGAAGTGTGAACAGGATCGCATCCTCAGTTTATCCAAGAGCTGCCTCACACCTTACATTTTTCCGACAAGGAAATCCTTCTGTGTGAGGAAAAGCATTAATACTTCATAATATAATCATTGTACATGCATCTGTTTTGTTATGCGCACATGCAACTGAACAGCCATAGGTGTGATTGTTATGGGGTATGAGGAAATACTCCCAAGTTTTCCTTACACAAATGTGTTTGGGGGTGTGTGTGTGTCATGGTTTGACTTTCTCCAAACAAGAACAAGGTTTGGTCTTCGCTTACGAACCATGGTTTGTTTGAGTAAAACAAACCATGGCTCCTGGTTCAGTTATACAGTGGTACCTCAGGTTAAGTACTTAATTCATTCTGGAGGTCCGTTTTTAACCTGAAACTGTTCTTAACCTGAAGCACCACTTTAGCTAATGGGGCCTCCTACTGCCGCCACACCGCCGGAGCCCGATTTCTGTTCTTATCCTGAAGCAAAGTTCTTAACCTGAAGCACTATTTCTGGGTTAGCGGAGTCTGTAACCTGAAGCCTATGTAACCTGAAGCGTATGTAACCCGAGGTACCACTGTACCATTGAGCTGAGGATGATGGTTTGTTGCTCCCGCTGGATTGAAGGGAGGTGCAAAGCAGGACCAATCAGCTGGTAAACTATGAACTGTGAATTACTGTGACATGCAGACTGGGCTATTATCATATTTAATACTTTAAGTGGATGATGATGCAGATATATTCAATGCTTTATGTTTTACTACACATAGTTACAGTCAGTTCCATGTTCTCTTATGTTGCCCCTATTAGCTCATACAAAGACTATTATCCCATTGCTTAGAAGAGTGCCCAGAAGTTCCAAGTCTGGAATTTACCCATTTTACTTCTTGAAGACAGAAAACTAGAAATTACAGCATTATTCGCAATATTTTGCATGACAGCCTACAAAATACATCAGTCGTTTTTACCTACTAGGCCAAAATGGACTTTCTATAAAAATACAAAATACAAAATAGCCAACCTAGCAGTTCGAAAGCACGCCAAAGTGCAAGTAGATAAATAGGTACCGCTCTAGCGGGAAGGCAAATGGCGTTTCTGTGCGCTGCTCTGGTTTCGCCAGAAGCGGCTTAGTCATGCTGGCCACATGACCCAGGAAAACTGTCTGCGGACAAATGTCAGCTCCCTCGGCCAGTAAAGCGAGATGAGCGTCACAACCCCAGAGTCGGCCACGGCTGGACTTAACTGTCAGGGGTCCTTTACCTTTACTTTTTTACCATTTTATTCTATATCATTTGAACTGTACTAGTACTTATTGTTGTATTAAACAGAATACGCTGGTTTTTAACCATATAACAAAGAAAGCTATAATCAGTTTTGTTATAAATCAGATGAAGCTCACCTTGGTTGAGAAGGAAAAAAGGAGCACTTTATCTTTGTTTTTTCTGAAGTGATTTAAAAGTTTCTGAAGGACCTGTAAGTAAACCATAGAAAAGATTTATTGAATAAACCTCAGGCAAAATATATTTTCACATATACAGTGGTACCTCGGGTTACAGGCACTTCAGGTTACAGACTCTGCTAACCCAGAAAATAATACCTCAGGTTAAGAACTTTGCTTCCATTAGCTAAAGTGGTGCTTCAGGTTAAGAACAGTTTCAGGTTAAGAACGGACCTCCAGAACGAATTAAGTTCTTAACCCAAGGTACCACTGTATCACAACTTTCCAAGGTTGAGGGTTTAAAAAACACAACAAAAAATACAGAAGATGAATAAAAAACAAGTCAACTGATTTGAAGCGACATCATACAAACTAAAAACACGAGCAGGTCAATGGAAACGACAGGAAGTCAGTGCAATTTATGCTGGGATATATTATCCTGGTGTAAACCTCCCCTATTCCAAACTTTGTTCAGGAGTAGGCCTACCGCCAGCTGAGCCAAAACAAGCCTAGCAGAGGCAAAACCAGCCTTTAAAATTGTGTTTGCTTTACACCATGCTATTTGCCAATGTAACTTATGCTGGGTTGCATTTGACTGAGATGAACAGAGTTTGGAATAGGGGTAAATCTCTCCCTGTTATGGCTTGTCCCCTGCCACTACCCCGGAATGCCCCATTTGTAGAACTTGCCCCAGGCGAGCTGCGGCTGTGCTAGAATGAAAGGCTTACACCAGTGTATCGCCAGCTGAGCCAGGATGAGGGACCCCAGCTAGCCTAACCCCAGGTGAGCCTGTTAGAACTCCTGCTCCGTGATTGCAGTCATGGGATTTTTGTCTATCACATGACGGTTTATGCTTTGACTCCACAGAGTGGGAAGTGACGGAGACAGGATGTTTGTGTTACTGTGTTACATGAAGTGTTCTTTCTCTTTGCTTTCTGATGCTAGAGAGAGAGGGAGCCATGTTACAATGCTCCGTGTGTGTTTATATGTAAATAAAGTAGATTAGCCAAAATGCTGAGTTGCTGAGGTCTGTTACGCAACTGCAAAGACTCTGCGGATCCCTAAGTGTGCTGGTGTCTGTTGGCATTGGTCGCTGTGATGTTCGGGCTGAAGAAAGCTTTTGAAGCTCCCGAACAATTGACCAGGAGGGAGAGAACATGCCACTCGGGCATGTATCTCTGCCAGAGTCCTACTCGAGTGTAGGACAGACTCCAGACCCAGCTAATTCTGCTGGAGACGCACCTATTCCAACCTCGTTTACACCAGTGAATCTTGTGTTTGGATTGCGCCGTAAGAAGATATCAAATGATCAGAGATACAGATGTGTGCACGCACTCATTTAAACATGTATAAAATAAACATTTTACAAAATGTACAGATAACGCACGGCTTTGGTTAAAACAGCTATAAAAGAAAATTCATGAAACAGTGCACGAGGTGTGATCTTAATGCAAACAAAATGCAAGGATGGCAAATCACATATTTGTATCATTGTAGCTGCCCAGCATGTGATAGCCTTAATCTACAAGGCCATGACCACACAATGACATTTTTCTAAAAACCCAGAGTATAATAGTCACCCTGAAGTGAGCCAACCCCCTTTTAAGCCTGCTGTACAACATCCAAGTTCAGAACTTCTTGGAACTTGGCTTCTCGTAATAATCAGCCAGCTGTATGCCCTTCCCCGCTCCCAGTGTCCTCTGTTGGTCTGTTTACAGTAGGTCGTGGCTTCCCAGACTTTGCACAGACCTTGAAATGCCAATAATCCGCCCACACGCAATGCTCTTCTGGTAGGGAAGCAAATAATCCAGAGCATTCTGTATAACAGTGATACTGTTATTCTCCAAAGGAGCATGTCCACATCTGGCAAGCAGTAATTCCAGAGCACCGCGCAGAAGCAAGACACAAAAGGGGAAAAGAGGAATTTTTCTGTCCAATGTCGGTAGCCTATTCCCAATGGGCAATAAATATTTAAACAATGCTATTGATTCAGTGATAAATACTTAACCTCTTAATTTGCACAGATTTTCCTGAAAGCAAAACATTCCAAATGACAGGAGGAGACTTATCTGATTAATTCTATAATGGCAGATAAAATCTTGAATACAAAGCAGCAATCGTACTGTTCATAACCCACACTGAAGGCCCAATCATCCAATTTCACGGTGAATTGAAGAGGCACGAATTGGAAATATTTGGAGAGCTTTGGTTTTCAATTCAATTAGAAATTGTCAAAACTGGATCATTTTAATGGGTAAAACAATAATTAACTCCTGCCATTTCAGACTCCAATTTTATTTTCTTAGGTACAAACAAGGAGGTCAAATTAAAGGGTAAAATGAGTTTACCTACAAAACAACCAGGGAAGAAAGTGAGGAGAACAAATATGCTCACATAATTAATTCCCAAATGGGTATCCTGAAAACAAATCCACTTTGCTTAAAGAAAATAAACCAATGTCATGTCATTTTGGAATTTAAGAGGACTCCACAGCATGGTAGGTATTTAAGTATTCCACAGGGCTGATCAGAAGAAAGGCAAGGAACAAATAGCTAAGACTGAAAAGGAAAACTATATGAATCCAGAATGCCCAAAGCCTAAAGGATAAGCAGAATGACACAAATAGAGAACCAATGTGGTGTAGTGGTTAGATTGTTGAACTAAGACCTGGGAGACCAGGGTTCAAATGCCTGCTCAGGCATAAAGCCCTCTAGGCCAGTCATTACCTCTCAACCTAGCCTACTTCTGAATAAAGTGGTACCTTGGTTTAAAACCATAATCTGTTCCGGAGGTCCAGTTGTAAACCAAAACAGGTTGTAACCCAAGGTGCGTTTTCGCCAATGGGGCCTCCAAAAAAAGGGGGGGGGGTTGTAATCCAAAAAAATTGATTTGTAATCCAAAAAAAGGGACACACACTTCTGGGTTTGACGTGGTTGTAATCCAAAATGGTTGTAATCCAAAACAGTTGCAAACCAAGGTACCACTGTACTGGTTGTTGGGCATCACCAATGGGAAGAGTATATTGCTCTCAATTCCTGCTCTGGGGCTTCCCATAGGCATCTGATTGGCCACTGTGAGAGCAGCACACTAGACAAGCCACTGGCCTGATCAGCAGGACACTTTAACAGTCTTATTTCAGGAAAAAACACTCACTAAGTGGTGCCCAATAATAGCGTGTCAGATGCCTCCTGTATCAAGCTATCCTTGATACTCTGTGGATGAACAAAAGCAGGGGCATGGCAGAGCTGAAATACTTTGGAAACTGCACAAGTTGATGCAATAAAAAGTAAAAAATCCCAAACCCCACCTTATTACTGCCCTAGCTATTCAGCCAGCTCTTTCACTCTTGCTCAATTTCTCAGCCGTAGTGGTTTATTGATATAGGTTATGCCTGCCTTTTTATATGTTAAAAACCCCAGAATTAAAACAGTTGAGCTTTTGAAGTAAAATATAATTTTAAAAGCTGTCTTTGCAATATTTTCATAACCTTTTCTTAGCTGCAGCTTGGCAGACTGTTTAAAATTAGAACCAATCTCCCAAGGCCAACAATATCTGATTAAAGCCTTTATTGTACTGGTGTCTTGCTATTTTCATTTTTTAAAGTGCATCTGTAGTAGTAAAGTATAGATTATAAAAATGCAGAAGACTGTAAAACCAGGGACCTGATTACATGGAGAAGAAGGTTCATTCTTTTCCATGTGTGCTCTGGTCTATTTCTTTCCAGACATCTTACCTGCAATGAAGTTAGGGTGGAAATAGGCAAATTCAATATATACACAACCTGATCTACAGGAGCTTCAACATGCACATCGATGGTACATTTGTTTGCACAGAAACTCAATTTCTTGTACTGGTAGCAATACATTTGCATCAACATATTTGTCATGAGTGGAATAACAATGAAATATGCAGAAAATTTTAAATTTCATGGAATTACACGGTAATGGAAATGTAAACAGTGGACCTTTATCTTAAAGAAACCATGCATGCTAAATGAAAGCTAATACTATTTTTTGCCACATAATGTATACTTCAATCTCTTCATATATTTACCTTCATTTTCCCACTATACTTTGGATCAGAAATGGTTTCAAAGGCTGCATCTTTGCTAAGCTTCACAAAATCAGGAAATTTGGAAAACACTTGGCTGCACACCCTTGTGATGTAGGCTTCCTGAAAGGAAACACAAATTGTGCAGAAGGAGGATAAAATCTGGCAAATCTGTAATTAACATCCTGGGCATAAGAAGAAATCGAAAACACTTTTTCAACAGTTACAGAAGCAAGATGATCCGACTAACTTTAAGGGTTGAAAAATAGATTAAAAGCTATAGGAATTACCGTATTTTTCGCCCTATAGGACACACTTTTCCCCCTTCAAAAATGAAGGGGAAATCTGTGTGCGTCCTATGGGGCGAATACAGGCTTTCGCTGAAGCTTGGAGAGCGAGAGGGGTCAGTGCGCACCGATCCCTCTCGCTCTCCAGGCTTCAGGAAGCTATCAGCAAGCCTGGGGAGCCCGCGGGAGTTCCCGCAGGGCTCCCTAGGCTGCGGATAGCAGCCTGCCGTCTGGCGCGCAGGCACCCTGAAGCAGAGCGCCCCACGCGCCGGGCAGACATCGGCCAGCCCCACAAGCTCGGGGGACAGCGGGGAGGCGCAGCGCCGCCATACCGCTGTTCCCCAACCTGGTTTGGTTTCCCCGACCTGGTTTTGGGGGGAAAATAAAGGGGGGGGAATTTCCTTTATTTCCCCCCCAAAAAAACTAGGTGCGTCCTATGGGACAGAGCGTCCTATGGGACGAAAAATACGGTAGTACTGTGTTTTCTGAATAGGAGCTGAATATGACTGAAACAATTTTCAACAGTATGAACAATTAACAGAGCATCAAAATGGGAAAAGCAATGTAATTTAGCCATTAAGTTCTTCCTCAAAATATTGTGGGTTCAAGGAGACTGACCTGTTGTTTGCTCGTGTGGTTCGTTTGTAACAGTGCAGCATGGTTAGCAATCTTACGAAGGACCGTCAGGTAACTGAAATATAATGCCCTCATTGTTTCGCCATGAGCATTTGTCTGCAGAAATATATAAAAAAATTAACCATCTTAGAAAGGGGAAGAGAAGCTCAAGGCAGCTCACTGGCAGGAAGCTTTGGCAGAATTTTCAAAAATGGCACTGTTCCCACCTGCACTTGGAAGTGGTACAGGCCACTCTCAACCACCTTGTGCATATACTTTGAATGCAACTGACAGGAATTTTTGAATGCATGACATTGAAAAGAATGCAGACAGTGCAGAGCCTCCCATTTTACTGCTCAGTAATAATTTCTCTCGGACATTACAAACTTATAGCACAGATCTCCCTCCTCCCACCTCTATACAAATGGTCTTGCCTGTTGCAAAAACTGGATGGTTGGTTGGTGTCCTTTTAAAAAAAATCTAAGACCCCTATGGTGCCGGAGGAGACTCTTGAGAGTCCCATGGACTGCCAGAAGATCAAACCGATCCATTCTGAAGGAAATCAGCCCTGAGTGCTCACTGGAAGGACAGAGCCTGAAGCTGAGGCTCCAATACTTTGGCCACCTCATGAGAAGAGAAGACTCCCTGGAAAAGACCCTGATGCTGGGAAAGATGGAGGGCACAAGGAGAAGGGGACGACAGAGGACGAGATGGTTGGACAGTGTTCTCGAAGCTACCAGCATGAGTTTGACCAAACTGTGGGAGGCAGTGGAAGACAGAAGTGCCTGGCGTGCTCTGGTCCATGGGGTCACAAAGAGTCAGACACGACTAAACGACTAAACAACAACAATGTTAAGCACTTTACGTTTCTGATCGCCTGGTTTGGCTTTATAGCCAGACACAGTAATATGGCATGTGTGCCTATTAATTGCAAAGGAGCGGAATGACCACAACTTGTTGGCCATTCCTGTTGCCAACCATAACTGAGTAGCTCTGTCAGTGCTTGGAAGAGGGTGATACACAGGGTGGCACAAATCTCTCTGACTCTCAGACTATAATCCTGGAATTCTAACGCTGCTGCTTATTGGTGTCATCCAATTTCAGCAGAACTGGATACCAAATAAAGATGCAAGGAAATAAAGCTGCAGGTGCAACTTCAAGCAGAATTTACCTTTTAACCTCAATTTCCCCTAAATTGGAAATAAGACCAATTTAGGGTTCATGGCTGCCACAGGCCTGGAGAAGGTTCCCTCACCCCCAGTGTTTCGTTTCCATGCTGGAGTCTTTCCTGAGGGATTGTATCCTATTTATCACAATTGTTAACACTCATTGCTTTCTTTAGAGGAAAGTTAGGCTATGATCTTATATAGATTTAAAGGTAAGGGAAAGTACTCCTGACCGTTAGGTCCAGTCGTGGACGACTCTAGGATTGAGCGCTCATCTCACTCTATAGGCCGAGGGAGCCGGCGTTTGTCTGCAGACAGCTTCCGGGTCATGTGGCCAGCATGACTAAGCCGCTTCTGGCGAACCAGAGAAGTGCACGGAAACACCGTTTACCTTCCCGCTGGAGCGGTACCTATGTATCTACTTGCACTTTGACGTGCTTTTGAACTGCTAGGTTGGCAGGAGCTAGGACCGAGCAACGGGAGCTCACCCCATCGCGGGGATTCGAACCGCCGACCTTCTGATCGGCAATTCCTAGGCTCTGTGGTTTAGACCACAGCGCCACCTGCGTACATAGACTTACTCCCCAGGGAATTAATGCCAAACTACGTATGCTTAGGATTCAGGGTGTTGTTTCTCATACATCTAAAACATATTTAACCTAAAACAACTCAGAAAGTATAACCCAACAGCTTCTTAGTGTGCCAGCAATGACATCAGCACCTATATCAAATAACTACTTTCCCGGCCATGCCTGACTGATTTTTAGGTGATGATTCACTGACCATTTACTCTGTGGTAGTTCCACTGAGGTAAACATGACAAAAAATTAAGACCGTGCGTTTTATGAATCTCACGAGAATAGCAATAGTAAAGCTATTCTTTCATATACCATGATTTAGCAATATAACTTCTAAGAACATGTCACAAAACATTCACTATCCTCCCCACCTTCTCTATTTTGCCATATTTTAAAAAGTAACCGACTAGCCTGCTTTATGGATAACTTCAGATCAACTGGAATATTTTAAGGGTACAGATATATGAACAAATATCAGCCAGCAGATCAGTCCAACGTGATTTTGCACCATAAAAAAGTCACTCAGTGAACAAATTAATATTCAAGGAAAAAGGATCTCACTAGGTATTCTTTTCCAGAAGTGTTTTCATCAATTATTTTCTACAATTATTTACTACTATTTTACCAAGGCTGCTGAAAAAGTACAGTATACATAACAATGTTTTACAATGTTATTCTTCAACCCTTGTCTATTTGTGGGGCTTTATTTTATTTTATTTTTAAGTCAGCTGTTTTGGCTGAAGCCAGTCATGAGAGCACAAATGCAAAGAAACCATCCACCACAAAGGTTTATAATAGCACAAAGAGAATCATGTAAAGGAAATGTTTGTATTAGTGCAAAAAGACCACAGGCAGTGGGAGTAATCTTCAAAACCTACACGGCTTAGTCTCTTAACCCTACGTGAAACAAAGGCTCAATGTGGCTGAAACACCAAGTCTCGGTTCGGCAACTGGAAGCCTGCTCAACTGGAAGCCTGCTCAGCAGACACCCTCCCTCATTTTTATCAGCAGATTTGCCATGACACCTAAATGGGCAACCAATTATTGTTGTTGTTGTTGTTTAGTCGTTTAGTCGTGTCCGAAACTTCGTGACCCCATGGACCAGAGCACGCCAGGCACCCCTGTCTTCCACTGCCTCCCGCAGTTTGGTCAGACTCATGCTGGTAGCTTCGAGAACACTGTCCAACCATCTTGTCCTCTGTCGTCCCCTTCTCCTTGTGCCCTCCATCTTTCCCAACATCAGGGTCTTTTCCAGGAGTCTTCTCTTCTCATGAGGTGGCCAAAGTATTGGAGCCTCAGCTTCAGGCTCTGTCCTTCCAGTGAGCACTCAGGGCTGATTTCCTTCAGAATGGATCGGTTTGATCTTCTGGCAGTCCATGGGACTCTCAAGAGTCTCCTCCAGCACCATCATTCAAAAGCATCAATTCTTTGGCAATCAGCCTTCTTTATGGTCCAGCTCTCACTTCCGTACATCACTACTGGGAAAACCATAGCTTTAACTATACGGACCTTTGCTGGCAAGGTGATGTCTCTGCTTTTTAACATGTACTTTTTAACATGCTTTTTAACATGTACCGATGATTAGTACCTCCCTTCTAAACCAGAATTTGAAGCGATGGTTTCCAAACCCACTTCAAGCCATGGGTCGAGGCACCAACCACATTCTGTCAAAGTGGATGTCTGCAAGCTATGGACTAAGAAAGCCAGGAAGTTGAGAAGCAGTGGAAAGAGCTCCTGAGGCCACAAAACTTATTCTCAGCTGGCAAACCATAATTTGGCATTATGTCTGATTTGAGCCTAAGCACATGCAACTGCTTTTGAACATTATGACCCCTAGTTCCTCTACCTCACGCCCCACCTTGCTGCTTCCCACACCGTTCCATTTATGCCTTATATGTGTAACTAATAATGGTGACATTCACTTGTAGCCAGCCAATCCACACTCGCATCTGAAGAAGCAAGGCTCCAATGTAAACCTGTAAAACTTTATGTGGTATCAAAACTTAAGTCTGAAAGGGTGTTTCTGAATACTTTAAATGCCAAACCTAAGACCAGCGGTGGAGGAAGCCGCCCCATGGGTGCCTGGGGTGGCGCGCCCAGGGGTGGGGCGAGCTGCCCATAGGGGTGGGGCAAACCACGGGGCCTCCAAGGAATCTGCCTGTCTCCTCCTACTCAGCTGCCCTACAGCTGGGGGGGAGGCAGTGGGCAGACCATTTGGGCAGTGTGGAGACTGCACACGCCGAAGCCACGGCGTGAGAGATGCGTGGCTCGGGCACGCTGCAGGCACCGCGTTGAGTGCCGCCCGGCATTTTGTCACACACACCCCAGTGGTGACACCCAGTGAGGATTGCACCCACCGCACTCCCCTTCCTCCACCCCTGCATAAGACTAACAAGTCTAACAACAACAAAATGTTTTGGCTATTTAATGATGACTTTTTGAGTAACTCAACCTCAATGCTTATGAAATCCAAACAGAAAGAAGAAAAGCGAGTGGTAAAAGAAAGTACAGTGGTACCTCGGGTTACAGACGCTTCAGGTTACAGACGCTTCAGGTTACAGACTCCGCTAACCCAGAAATAGTGCTTCAGGTTAAGAACTTTGCTTCATGATGAGAACAGAAATCGTGCAGCGGCGGCACAGCAGTAGCGGGAGGCCCCATTAGCTAAAGTGGTGCTTCAGGTTAAGAACAGTTTCAGGTTAAGAACGGACCTCCAGAACGAATTAAGTACTTAACCCGAGGTACCACTGTACAGTCATACCTCGGGTTAAATATGCTTCAGGTTGAGCATTTTCAGGTTGCGTTCCGCGGCGACCTGGAAGTAACAGAATGGGTTACTTCTGGGTTTCACTGCTCACGCATGCGCAGATGCTCAAAATGACGTCACGTGCATGCGCAAAAGCAGCAGATCACGACCCATGCACGCGCAGACACGTGTTGCATTCTGCTCGGGTTGTGAACGGGGCTCCGGAACGGATCCCGTTCACAACCAGAGGTACCACTGTACTGGGAATCCAAAAACCTAGACTGCCAGAGGGATGAGTAAGCGAGTTTTATGCCACGTTGTATCCATCGTCTGTGCCTCACTTTCAGATCCATGAGTGAAAAGTCAGCACGGAAGCAGAGTGCACCAGATGCACATTGCAGAAGGGAACTTGGCAATACAATCAAGCATGTCCAAACATCTTACTTTGTAGCAGCAATATTTCCTTTTGCGACCGCTGTTGCAGCTGCACGGCTCCCCTGCTTGCAGCACCAACTGCACATCCTCTGTCTCTAGCACAGTCTTATACACAGCTCTCTGGAACTCTGTCAGAGAACAATAAACCATCTGGCAGGATAAAATGCAAAACGGGGGGAAGAAAACACCACAAATAAAAATGTTAAGCTATTATGAACAATTGCAAGTAGATAATGATCATGACAGGCACGATCAAACATCAATGCGATGTTTCATTGTTGTTGCAATGTTGCAAACTTTAACACCATATAAAAGGGGGGGGTGTCGTTGGCTAATATCTTAGATTTAAATGACACAATCTGTCACAAATATGAAAGTTAAATTGTGGCAATCCTTCTCAATCTGCAACCAGTATGTGCAGGAGAGGAAAGGACTCAAAATGCATCAATGTAAGGCTACAGAGATTTCGAACCTCTTAAAAGATCTATTTTGCCATTTCCTGGCACATACTATTGCAGAACACTAACGCAGACAAAGGGGATAAAGGGAAACAGCCAGCTCTTTAGATATCCATTGACATTCTGAATTGCTGATGTAGGAGGGAGGGGCTCTGTACAGTGGGATGACAAACTTTATCCTTCCTCTCAAAGACCATGGGTGGCATCTCCATGACATCTTTTGGTCTCAACCAGCAGGATGCAGAAATCCCAGGATCACTCCTGAATTTAGGCCACCCACAAAGCAGCAGCACCATGCTGTGCTATAATAATCCAAAAGTATCTTGAACATATACTCACATTATCAAGAGAATGAAATGAAATGAAAGCTGCAAGATTAAAGGCAACCGAGTGGCATTGCTGTTAATCTTCTCTTTAGAAAGCCCAGTTTAGACTGTATTATTACAGGCTTTGGCTAAAAGGTAGGTATAAATAAGGAAGGAAAAGCAGTAGACAAATGTGCATCTTTATTAAAAGTATGTGTGATTGTGTATCCTCTAAAATGTACTCTTGTGCTCAACGTACAAGGCAAGACAAGTGAAATGCATGTACTCTTTCATGATGGTGATGCCAAGCCCAGGCAGTCTTTTTCCATTTAACAATTCAATTAGGTTTTTACATGCATTTATCAGAAGAAAAGGAAGTATGAGAGCAAAAAGCATCTCGCTAGTCTTTTAAATGAACTCCGGTCCATTAACAAATTTTTGCGTGGGAACTGAAGACATTAAGCTTGCAGACTGAGCTATGGGAGTTATTTGGGCTTGTAATTACAAATTCTGGACAAAATATGAAAGGCTAGATGTGAAAAATCATTTGTCTGCAGAAAGTCCCATATTGAGAAAAATTGCAAATGACAAAAACAATATTGCTTAACAGCAGTATTTAATCCTTTCCTTACACTGGCTCACAATACTAAAATTACTAGAAAAAAAACATTTTAGCAATCAAGGAGACGATTCAGTCCTTCTCTAGACCCATTCATGCCTACGTATTTGCAGAGCACTGCTAACAGCAAATGGATTTCCCATAAATGCACCTCACAGCCCCAGTCCAGTGCACAAACACAGTTGCGCATGTGAGTGGATCTCCCACTCACCCCAGATGTCTACAAGGTAAGGTAAAGGTAAAGGGCCCCTGATAGTTAAGTCCAGTCGTGAATGACTCTGGGGTTGTGGCGCTCATCTTGCTTTACTGGCTGAGGGAGCCAACATTTGTCCACAGGCAGTTTTTTCCAGGTCATGCAGCCAGCATGACCAAGCCGCTTCTGGCAAAACCAGAGCAGCACACTGAAACACTGTTTACCTTCCCACCAGAGTGGTACCTATTTATCTACTTGCACTTTGACGTGCTTTCGAACTGCTAAGTTGGCAGGAGCTGGGACCGAGCAATGGGAGCTCACCCCGTCATGGGGATTTGAACCACCGACCTTCCGATCGGCAAGCCCAAGGCTCAGTGGTTTACACCACAGTGCCAAATTTTATTAAATCCACATTGAAAAGCTATAGACAAATTTATTGTAGCTGATCACTCTTACTCTGTCCTCCTTCTTGGGCAACTGATCGTTTATAAGAGCTTTTGTACGCCTTAAGAAGTAGCGAGATATTTTCTGAGCTAGCCTCTGCATTGCTTTTCGACCTGTTGCTAGTTCTCTTTTGGTTGCAGTGTGCCTCTGACCATGTTCTACTGGATCAGAAAATTCCTTCTTGAAGCGCGCTTCATTACCCAAAAGTCCCGGTACAGCCCTAAGAGACAGGAAAAAATCAGCAGACATATTTTCATTCTTGTTGTGACCTCTTTCTTCCATCTGCTGTGATTTCTTGTGTGTCACTCCAGCACTCACATATCCAGCAGGATTCTACAACCAAAGATCCAGATTCTCTGTCTGCTGTTGTGTTCCAGCTGCTGGCTAACTAAATTCCCATGCATATTTTAAAATATGTTCATTTTCTAGATACCCGAGAATGTACCCCTAAGAGTGATATCCATGTCACCACATGGACTGAAACGTAATATTAGAGCATTTATAATACTGGTCGTGCCATAACTAAAACACTGTGCAAAAAACACTATCTGTGCATGTAGATAAATAATAAAATGGCATCAACAGTGAATGAGCATTCAACCTATACTTGCAAGGTTCACTTTTATTGTGCTTACCAGTCCATGACACACCAAAGTTCCTTCATGTTGTTCTGCAGAATCGTCCCAGTAAGTCCCAATCGAACCTTGCACTTTAGAGCCTTCATGGTCTGGGTTATTTGCGATTTCGGATTCTTGATTCTATGCACTTCATCTACAATGACAGCCGACCACTCTAAGCTGGGAAAACAACCAGAAATTATGAGAGTCTCCCTAAATCCTCCAAATATATTATTTCATAAGCTATTGCCAATGAGGTTTCCCATATTATGCAAAACAATGACACTCAAGACTGAACTTTCCATGGTTCTGGGACAATGAGAGTACAGAGTATCAAAACAAAAAAAGGGGGGTTAAAAATACAGCAAGTTTTTTAAAAAATGTAGCTGAAAAGTTTTTTTTTAAAAAAAAAGGTTCAATGCACTCCCTCCCATCTATGCTCCATATTACATCTTTGTCATGGCTCAAGCCCCAAATACCTGAAAGCCCATCACTTTCCCTACAAACCCCCTCTCGTGCTTGGCTGTTCCACCACCCTCAGAAATTTGGTGGTAATAAATTATATGGATGATGATGACGACCCCCAAACCCAGCCCCTCATACAAGCTTGAAGAAGAAACAGATAAGGGGAAAATACAGACCATTCCACTCATGGGAGTCAACCTCTTCCCTGAGCCTCCTTGGCTTGTGGACATAGCTTGCTTGGTTTTCTCAGAGAGAAGCACCCATTGACATCCCCTCCAGCACAGATGTCAGTACTGACAGAACTGGACAAGAACTGGTCATGGGACCGAGACGGCTTTGGTCGCCCTAACAGATGATCTCCGCAGGCAGTTGGATCGAGGAGGGTCGGGGCTGCTGATTCTTCTAGACCTGTCAGCAGCCTTCGACATGGTCGATCACGAACTCCTGGACCACCGCCTTGCCGACGTGGGGATCCAGGGCACAGTCCTTCAATGGCTGCGCTCGTTTCTCTCTGGTCGGGGACAGAGGGTGGCGCTTGGGGGGGAATTGTCATCACGCCACTCCTTGGTGTGTGGAGTGCCTCAGGGTGCGATACTCTCCCCGATGCTTTTCAACATCTTTATGCGCCCCCTCGCCCAGCTTGTCTGGAGTTTTGGGCTGGGTTGCCATCAGTATGCCGATGACACCCAACTCTATCTGTTGATGGATGGCCATCCTGACTCGGCCCCAGACACACTGACCAGATGTCTGGAAGCTGCGGCTGGATGGTTACGTGGGAGCAGGTTGAAGTTAAATCCTTCGAAGACAGAGGTCCTCTGGCTGGGACGGGACGATATGGGATTGAGGGGGCAACTCCCATCTCTTGCGGGGGTGCAATTAGTGCCAGCACCGTCCGTTAAGAGTTTGGGTGTAATCTTCGATACCTCCCTCTCTATGGAGGCGCAGGTTACAGCTATAACAAAGGCGGCATTTTTTCATCTCCGCCAAGCTAAGCAGTTGGCTCCTTATCTCTCTTGCCCTGACCTAGCCACTGTGATCCACGCGACGGTCACCTCCAGACTGGATTATTGTAACTCGCTCTACGTGGGGCTGCCCTTGAGACTGACCCAGAAACTCCAGCGGGTGCAGAATGCCGCGGCAAGACTCCTTATGGGGTCTTCGCTGCGAGATCACATTCATCCGGTACTATACCAGCTGCACTGGCTCCCTGTGGAGTACAGGATCAGGTTTAAGGTGCTGGTTTTAACCTTTAAAGCCCTATACGGCCTAGGACCCTCGTACCTACGGGATCGCCTCTCCTGGTATGTCCCACAGAGGAACTTACGGTCTGCAAATAAAAACATCCTGAAGGTCCCAGGCCACAGAGAGGTTAGGCTGGCCTCAACTAGAGCCATGGCTTTCTCGGCTACGGCTCCAATCTGGTGGAATGCTCTGTCACAAGAGACTAGGGCCCTGCGGGACCTGACATCTTTCCGCAGGGCCTGAAAGACAGAGCTGTTCCACCAAGCCTTTGGTCAGGGCGCAGCCTGACTCCCTCCTCTGGCAATGTGCACTGAATTTTGCTTAACGATTGCCATCAATTTGATTTTAATTAATTTTTATAATGAAATGTTTTTAGAATGTTGGATTATTTGATTGTTGTTAGCCGCCCTGAGCCCGGCTTCGGCTGGGGAGGGCGGGATATAAATAAAATTTATTTTTCTTTTTATTATTATTATTATTATTTTAAGTCAGCATTGTCCACGCCTCAGGGAACTGGTGCCAAGTGCAGTATAGTATTTGCAAGCTTGCAAAACACCTAATATGGTCTTAACTCAGCCAGCAGGGCCCATTTGGTACCTGGCTTGATCAGAGAGACCTGGCTTGTCTTTCCCTGGGGATAGATAGATAGATGATAGATAATTTATTTGCTTGCTTGCCACCCATCTGACTGGGTTGTGCCAAATGACTGTGACCAGACTTTCCTGCTTATTTGTACCTACAGAAAAATTCTTGACACTCCTTACAAACAGCAAGAGAAAAGAACTGATTTCTGTATTAGGGAGAAAGGGTATATCTTTGAAGGGAGGCAGGGAGAGAAACCGAATATAACTTTCAGCTGGGATTTTGTAATTATCCAAAGACGTCCATAACAGCCATAACTTAACAGCTACAGGTACAGCTAGATAACATTTGATCGCACCAATTCGGAATGACTTAGAACTGATGGTCGGGAGATTAAACCAAGTACAATACATTATTTGCCATCCAGCAAGAATCCATTTCATACTTTAGGGGAGAAGTTAGGGCTGGTGCTCAGTCTAATAAAGTTTTCAAAATAACATGAAGAAATAGGGCTAGCATTTAATAAAAGTGCTAAATGTTTCACATTTCAGAAATATCACGGTTCTATTGCATTACTGAAGCTTGCCTAGAGTGAGAGTGGTGTTTTTGGCTACAGCCCTTTCCTCTACACCCTCCCGCTGACTGGTGGTTGCCAAAATGTTCCCTGCCCCAGACTTCATCAAATGTCACTCATTGCAATTAAAAAACACTAGAGAAGTATTTCTCCACTCCAAGCAAAAATTTGACCATTTCCCCTTTGCGCATATATTTCTGCAATGCAGTTGAAGACATTTTCATTCTCCTATGCATGTTTGCAATGGAATCACTGACAACTTGTGTGCATAGGATTACAGCCACAATATATATGCTCAATGCATTTTCTCGTATTTCTCCCAAAGGTTTCAGGCATTTGGTGTCCTGGGTTTGCAAGAGTACCTGTAGGATATAAAACAACAACAACAACAACAACAACAACAACAACAGCAACAACCCGACACTCATTGTCTGCAGTAGAGGTAATTTTTAGAATTGTGTTACCTGTTAAGGTCATCCAAACAAAGGCGAAGGGTTTCATATGTTGTTAGTGCGACTTCACATTTCCCCTGCTTGATTCGACTCATTTCGTAGTCCTTTCTATTGCCATGCAGAACTATCACCTTGAAATAGCCCCAGGTATCCAGTTCATCTTTCCAATTATACAGGACAGAAAGGGGTGCCACAATCAGGAAAGGCTGGAAAGAAGAATGTGATGTGGTTTCTGAACCAGATACAAGGTGCTGAATACATACAAGCTGCGTATGAGTACAAAACCCCCACACTGTTAATATTCCTATGCTATCCTATACTTTTCAGCTGCCTGGGCACAGTACAGTGAGAGAAACCCAGAAAAAAAAGGTCCTTCAAGCTCATTAAGACCCAGCCAGAAGAGTTTCTTTCAATGTAGCCACCATCTTGTTTCTATGGCAAGCTTATGTAACTTGAATCCCTTGAGGCCTAAAGCAGCCCATACGGAGGTGTGCCCGTTGACGGAACACCCCTCTCCCCATTTTTGCTCAGGAATATGCAAGTTTTAAGCATGCCTACTTGCAGCAAACCTGGAAAATCCCCAAGACGAGGGGAAGAACAGATGGCAAGGGAATCGACAGTCAAAGAGTGTCAGTTGGCTCCTAGCCAAAATTTGGTGACAAGCAAAGTTTGAGAGAGGACTCTTTGTGGTGAGGGAGGTGGAATCCTCAAAACTGCTTTTAATTTATATCAACCTTGGAAAGTCACCCTCTCAAAGCAGGGAAGGAAGATCTGTCTGCGCCCTGTTATCCAGGCACCTAGGGATTTTAACACAGCTGACTAAGAAAGAGGTAGGAACAAAAGGTAGGCCAGGAAGCAGAACCTAGAAGTGTCGTGATGAAGGCCAGCCCAACTAGGGGTGAGAAGTACAGAGGCAAGAAGGTGGAAGAATCCCCCTGTATATTAATGGGGAAGTGAAACATATCCCCCTTCAGCTGTTTGTTAGGAACCAAGAGCCCACTTAAATTATCTGAAGCCTGTTGAGACTGCTTAGGCTCTATTGGGGTCACAAAAAATGTTTTCCAGGCAAGCGCAATTATTCTCCAAGCTACTGGAAGGGTCAGCAAATGGTCCTTCAATTATCATAGGAGATGAAGAAGCCTATGGATCAGAGTTCTCCATGCCACCAACAACCACCACCATATTCTATAATATATTGCGGGGGTCACGCTGTGTAATTGTGGTCCATAGAACCTCACATACATAAAGCATATCTCCATTTAAAAACGGTTTGTACTGTTGTATCTTCAAGATGCCCCTAAGCTTACTTTCTTTGGAACAGATGGCATGTCTTTTTTCATAGTTCTTCGCAAAAATTCAGGCATGTTATTTTCAATATCTGCACGTGTCCCCTTTTTGTGCAGCACTGCAGCCAGAAAGGAAATAACCTAGAAAGAAACGCAAGTTGAAGTGTTTAAGAGAAAATAATAACCAAATTGCACTCCAAACAAATCTCTGATGCACAGCGGAAGACTACATAGCTCTGTTCGCATAGCGAAAGAACTGTGGGAACAAGTAGGAATGTGATGATGGTTCAACTGGTGAAACGGCCTTTTCCACAAACAAGCAGTTAAAATTCACAACAAATGGGAAAGACAGTTTGCTAAGACTTGTTTTCTCAGAACTCATATAGATACACTGCCTCAGGACTCCAAAGACAAGGAATCTCAACAGAACCTCAGCCAGCCCCACTGCTGCAACTAAATACAGTGGTACCTCAGGTTATATACGCTTCAGGTTACATACGCTTCAGGTTACAGACTCCACTAACCCAGAAATAGTGCTTCAGGTTAAGAACTTTGCTTCAGGATAAGAACAGAAATCGTGCTCCGGCGGTGCGGTGGTAGCAGGAGGCCCCATTAGCTAACCCGACGTACCACTGTACAGCATCCCACAGCTAAGCAAGGGAAGGGACCCAAAACACTCTTCATCTGTCACAGAGTCTCCAAGCTCTCAAGATGAGGAAACATGTGCTAACTAGCCCTTCTTAAAATGTGCAGGTTGCAGAAAGGTGAGTCCTCCTGGCAACAAATGCAAGTAATTTGTGCTGGCAAGTGGAACAGGGAGTCCAACCTCTTCTGCCAGGAGAATCTCACTTCTTGTATTGATACACAAGACTCATTCTTCCTGGGCAGAATCAGAGCCAGGGCATCTGGAGCCACCAGAAGTCCAGTTCTAATGCAAGTCCCAAGATGGAATGGGCAGCATATAAATAAAGGGTAGCAAACAGCAACCCTCCAGATGGTGGTTTGCAACACCTATCATCCTTGACCCTTGGCCACACTGGCTGGGGTGGATAGGAGCTGGAACCCAAAAATAGATCAAGCATCACAGATTCCCCACCCTTGCTATAAAGAGAACCATGTAGGCACAGAAAATGACCCGTATAAGACAATTTGCAGCACTTGCTTTGATTTCACTAATTTAGTTACATGCAATGATGCCCTTAGCTTGTTGTAGCATTAAAAGTCAATAGATTACTTTAATCACATTCACAAGCTAATGTCCTGCTTAAATCAGAATTTTACTGTTCAGCTAGGTGACCAGGATGAAAAAAAACCAGGCAAGTTTAAAATATCCCTCCATTAACCAGCTTTATCATTTCTTCTTGTAAATGTAACATCCCATGCCAGCCTTGGTTTGGATTCAGCTTGGTTTTTATGCATTTGTCCCATGAAGTTTTATTTTATTTGGGTAATGTGGATAAAATTCCATGAAAAATACTTTTAAAAAGAAAAGAAAATATTCATCCACATATCCACTTCCAGCTTACAATGAAATTCAAACTGTTGTGAAAAAGATGTTTCTAATTGGATTCCTGGTTCTCATCATGAACCACTGCTATTATCAAGTATAATGACACACAAAATAGGTGGCAAGCCATGCATGGAAACTTTTTTTAAAAAAGAGAAAGTGGTAAATTATGGAAAGAAGCTGTAGAATAAAACCAGTCTGGAGTTTAATCCCTAGATGTCTCACACAGCAGAGTGCTATTTCATCCTTGGAGTGAAAGAATGAATTGCCATTCTGAGAAAATAATGTTGCAGGCTTCCTTCCCCACGCTGACAAGAAAGCATTTTTACAGTCTATCTTTCCTCACATACTGTCATTTTGCAATCAGTGGTATATACCAGTGTCTGGGAAAGAGTGTAATAAAATTCCCCAACAGGCAATATAAAAAAAGCAAGAGGAAATCAGCCTTGTTTTTAAAAGGAAGCATAGAGACTGTATACTCATGATCACTGTCTTAAGTTATTTCCCACTTTGTGACAATTCTGGAAAATTAAAGACCTCACTCCAGTCTCACCATCTGTTTGCCTTCCAGGTTTATCAAATATCATGGTCAGGACAGAAGAATGGACTCCCAACTTTCTCATTAATATCATTAGCTTAATTCTTTCTAGAGGTCTTTCTTAAACACCTGAAACATCTAAAGGCCTCACAACTGAGGAGAGAAAAACGGGGGGGGGGGAGAGAAACGTGGCTGTGGCTTACAAAGTTTCATTTCGTTAATTATTTAATTATAAAACCCAGGTATAAAGGTAAAGGTAAAGGGACCAGGTCCAGTCGTGACCGACTCTGGGGTTGCAGTGCTCATCTCACTTTATTGGCCAAGGGAGCCGGTGTACAGCTTCCGGGTCATGTGGCCAGCATGACTAAGCCGCTTCTGGCGAACCAGAGCAGCGCACGGAAACGCCATTTACCTTCCCGCTGGAGTGGTACCTACTTATCTACTTGCACTTTGACCTGCTTTCAAACTGCTAGGTTGGCAGGAGCAGGGACCGAGCAACGGGAGCTCACCCCGTTGCGGGGATTCAAACTGCCGACCTTCTGATCGGCAAGTCCTAGGCTCTGTGGTTTAACCCACAGGTATAAATATTATCAAAGCAGCTACAGACAAACACAATACTAAGAAGCAGAACAAATTAAGGGGCAGGAGAAATTTAGTTGTCCTCACAAGTTCACGCAATGGGTTTTTCGCCCCTGTCCTCCCCCTCTGGAGAGGAAAGGGTGATCGTTCCACCTGACAAGCTGCAATACTTGGCGCAGACTAAACACAATGTTGAATTTCACCAAAGGGGGGTGGATAGGCAAAAACACAGCTGAGATGCTAAGGGTCAGGTGTAAAGGGTTGGCCAGGTATGAAGGAGGGGGAGTTGACAAAGGGGTAAGTGGGCTTGATGAGCGGAGCAAACAGAGATAGCAGCCCCTAGCGAAAACTTAGAACCATTAAAAGCAGGAAACAACAATCATTCAAATGACTGGCAACTCAACAGAATTTGTGAGTGCCCAATATCATCACGAGCACAAATCATCATGAACACGAGAGACCCTCGCAAAATTCAGCCAATTCTTTACTCTGCTCCAGACATCAACACATTTTTGTCCTTAGAATAGCAGAAAGGAGGTAAGATACCTGTACAGTTTTCCCAAGGCCCATGTCATCTCCAAGAATGCACCCGTTACCACAAACAGCGTGTCCATATAAAAACAGGGCCCCTTTTCTTTGATAATCACGTAGGTATCTATTAATTGTGTATGGGATCCGATCTCCATCCTTAGACAGCTCATAGTCAACTGCAGAGGAGGGAAATCTTCTGCCAGGGAAATGAGGCTTCTCCAAATCTTCGTCATCAAATATTAAGTTCTTCTGGGCATATTTACTGGTTTTGATGCTACAGAGTTTTGCTACCAGTATTTTCTTTCCTTGAGAGCCCCTAAAAGATACAACTGCAAAAGAATTCCCATTTTCATCTGTTTCCAAGGATGTTATTGTGGCTTCACAAAGCTTCTCATTTTCAGGAAAAGGAGCAAGGCATTTATCTCCAACATGCCATCTGCCTGTTAAAAATCACATACAACAAAAATAGGGTTTCAACCTGAATGAAATTCAGTGGAGTGTACTTAATTAAATTCTATTCATTTTTTTTTTCTGAATAAACCCACATAAAGTTGGGATGCAAACTGTTTCAAATTAGTCCCGCAAAAATCAAGACACATCCTAGCAATGTTCTCTTCAAGGTAACAGATAAATCACCCACCTGCCAAATCATCACACATTCTTAGTTATAGATAAGCATGGATCCCCATATACCTATAAAACTGAAAAGAAGAAACAAGCATAAGCAAAAAATTAGTATTAACAAGATAAGGGGCAAGTATCATCAACCGACATTTCGAAAGTACGATTAACCTCCATAAAGGAACACCCCAAAAAAAATGCTATCATGACATAGTGTCCCAAATAATGACATCTCCATGCTGAAAAAAAAAGCACCACATTGAGCTAACTGTACTTTTCACTTTAGGGGAGGGGGAAACTATGTCCCTCAAGATGTTGTTGGGTTCCAGCTGCCATCAGCCCCAGCCAGTATGGCCAGCAGATCTGCTCCACTTCCCAGTGGGGAGGAGTTGCGGTGGACCATGTGGCCACCCACTCCCCACCGGGGGCGGGGGACTTTGTCCCCCATTGCCCGGAGGATCCCAGCCACGTCAGAGCCCAGCTGGCCAATCCGCTGGCCGGGGGGGGCATGGCCGGGTCTGTTTAAGCAGAGGCACAAGCCGGAGGGCTTCCTCTTTGGCTCGCTTCCTCAATCACCCGCCCTCCCTCCCTATTTTGCAGGTTTTAGGCACTGGCCTTGCTATGGACCATGGTTGGTCGCCGTTGAGGGGCCTGGTAGGAATTTTTCCACTTGGCAAATTGGCACTGGCCATTTGGTTTTCGCCTACCTCGTAGCAATCGTCACAACTTCGTTAGGGTTGCGGTTAGGCATTGTTTGACCTTGTGGGGGGGGGAGGGGAGGTGTGACCATCACCTGCCCCTCCAAGCTTAAGGGTATTCCGTTAAAGGAATCCGGGCTGTTCTTGTCCGAAGCCTGTGTCAGGGGCTAGGGCCATGACACGACCCCGACGGGAACATCAGGGGGAGCTCGAGTTGGTCTGCATCGACAGGACTCCTCCATTCGGTGGTTTACCCTTACCGGACTTCCTGCGCATCGGGCAGGAGTCAGATATAGCCAGGTCCAATCAATGCCTAAGCCAATACGGCTCACATTCTGTAATTCAATAAAGTTGTGGCCAAATTTGCCCAATAACATAAACCTAATATCTGTGTCCTTGTGTGTGTTATTTCCCAACGAGGGGGTGGCTGCGGGGTCTTGACACGCAATCAACAGTTGTAGTCGAGCATCTTCTGCAGGGATTCGGATTAGTCATCCATGCTTTAGGAGATCTCAGGTGAGGCATCATATCAAGCTAAGAGACCAGCCCTTCTTCTCCTACACCCCTATGAGAGGGAGTAAGTGCTCTGTACTTAGGACAAAAAGTCTCCCCCTCAATTATCATTATTTTTTTTAAAGGTGACAAGCGTAGCTGAAGTGGGATTCTTCGTGAAATACCAGTCTGCAGGAAATCAGTATAAAATGCTGACAGTTTGATGCCCTGAAAAGGGACTTTGGCCCAGGTAAGCGTGCAGTGAGCTGCAGCCTAAACATCTCTTGAGAAAGGGGCTAGTGTGTGACTAAACTGACTCAATTACAGTGGTACCTCAGGTTAAGTACCTAATTCGTTCCAGAGGTCCGTTCTTAACCTGAAACTGTTCTTAACCTGAAGCACCACTTTAGCTAATGGGGCCTCCCCCTGCCGCTGCACCGCTGGAGCACGATTTCTGTTCTCATCCTGGAGCAAAGTTCTTAACCCGAGGTAATATTTATGGGTTAGCGGAGTCTGTAACCTGAAGCGTCTGTAACCTGAAGCGTCTGTAACCCGAGGTACCACTGTATCAGCAAGCAGCAGGTGGCAGGAAAGAGAGCGGAAGCTGAAGACTATTATTTGTTTATTGGTATTTATAGGCCGCTCATTAACCACATCCTCTGGACAGTAAATGTAAGAACGTAAGAAGAGTCTGCTGGATCAAGCCAACAGCATCCTGTTCTCACAGTGGCCAACCAGATGCCTGTAAAAAACTCTCAGGCAGGACCCAAGCACAAGACCACTCTTGTCTCCTGTGGTTTCCAGCAACTGGCATTCAGCAGCATTAGCATAGTCATCATGGCTAGTAGCCACCAATAGCCTCCATGAGCTTATCTATTCGTCTTTTGATGCTATCCAAGCTGGTGGCCATCACTGCGTCCTGTGGAAGCACGTTCCAAAGTTTACCTATGCGCTGTGTGAAGAAGTGCTTTCTTTTATCTGTTCTGAACCAACAGGGCCATGGGCGTAGCCAGGGGGCAGGAGGAAGCAGCTGCCCCCCTCCATCAAGTACCGTATTTTTTGCACCATAACACTCACTTTTTTCCTCCTAAAAAGTCAGGGGAAATGTCTGTGCGTGTTATGTCTGTGTGTGTTATGTCTGTGTGTGCCTATGGGTGGCATGCCTAAGGATTTTCCTCCTCTAAAAACTACATGCGTGTTATGGTCGGGTGCGTGTTATAGAGCGAAAAATACGGTAAATAAATAAAAATACTTAACTAAAAGTTGAAATAATCATAATATTTGAAACTGAAATGCTTGTTGAAGTCACTTGGATGACGTTGTGGCGCATTCTAGCGATGCAACTGGCAACCCGACTGAGTGATGGACTATGGTACACCATGTGGAAGGAGAAGAAACTCAGCAAAGAGCAGTTGAAAGAGCTGGACATGGTAGATCTAGTAAAAGAGGCAGAAATCTTTTATCCTATCACAGAAAAGGTTCTGCTCATCTCTCTTGCTCAGCCATGCTCCCCTTGTACCCTAGAACAGTCATTCGGTACATTGCGGAGAGTAAAAACCTGGCTAAGGGTATGATGGCAGGGGAGCGTCTTCATGGGTAATGCTTACTGAGTGCGCACACAAAAACCACATTTGGGGGAAAGGAGGAATTGGAGAAGGAAATGCTGAGAAGCATTTCAGCAAATCCAAGAAAAAAATGAAAAAGAAAATGAGATGAGAAAAGGCGTGTTCTTTGTAATTTTGCAAAATATACTCATTAACTGTGGGAAAGGTACTCCCTGGTGTTTATTTTTTGACTTCTGAATCTGATAGACAGAGCAGACAGAGGAGGATAACAGGTGGGTGTCCTAACCTAAGGTTACCCGGTGCCCCCATTTCCCGGGGACAGTCCCCGGATTTACAAATCAGTCCCCATACAAAATCCTATCATTCCTACTGAAGTTGAAAAGTGTCCCCAGATTCACTGAAAAAAATCTGGTAACCTTATCCAACCCCTCCCCCAAACATAAATCCTAGCTATGTCTATGAATATGGCATGAAAGAAGGGTAAGGGCCTGCGCTTACAACACCCCTGACCATGCTGAAAATGCAACTGAAATGCAGCAACCTCTGGAGGGCCACAGATTTCCCCAGCAGCCCTGACATCAGGTTAGAGCAGCCTAAGCCCAAGAACACACACAAAGGCAACGCAGGAGACCCTTCTTCTAAGCCAGCATTAAGATGCACAAGATACTATCACCAAGGCAACTATCTGTAAGCAAATAGTAAGCATCCATAAAAATGGCAAAAGGAGCTTCTTTCCCAAATCAGTTTTATCTTGAACAATAGCAAACACAGTAAATAAAGAGTCCACTTGTGATATACCAGTGGTTCAGTGTTCCGACTTTGTTCCGGTAAACCGGCGTTTCATTGCTAAATACCTTTAGTCATTGAGCTGTCAAAATCTACTGTAACAGAACTGCACCGAATTAACAAGGAAAATTAAATTAAAAAAATAGGCTGAGAAAGCATAGTTAAGGCATAACTTTGTAGTGTAAACGATATACAAGAGAAGATGGTATGTAAGCGGCTTAAAGGTATAAAGGTGAGACAATAACTAGTCTGTTTGCACGTACCTAGTTCCTACCCGCCTCAGTCCCACTAATACAAAAAATTCTCTGTAGAAACTTACCTGTCCCCATCTGCATGTTTCCTTCGGGAGGAGCACAGAAAGAGGACGACGTCCTTCAGTTCGTTAAATCTCCTTAGGAAACATGGGCAGGGCTCACAAGCCTAAACCTAGCTGGGAAAGAAACTACTTTTGCCATTTTCAATGGACGTTTATTGTTTATTTACAGGTGACATTACCTGCAAACAATATTTCAGGTAATATCTTGGTGTCGACTGCAGTAGTCAGCCCTGTTCATTGTCTTAGCATTAAGATATAGGCAGGAATAATTAGAATTAAAGGGCACCGACTTCCGGGCTGAAGCCCCGAACTCACGTGCCGAGAAGCCGCCGCAGCTTCTGCCACTTCCGGGGTTTCGAAGCTCCCCTATTTCGAAGCGAGAAGCAAGCTCTCGCGAGACCCAGCCGTGGTCTCGCGGGGTCCGGGTCTCCACAGAGCATCTCCTCTCAGCATGAAATCGCCCTAGACTTAACAGTGCAGAGTCGCCCGCCCGGCCTCAGAGTTTATGGTTGTTATTCGAGCGCCATTTCCCCTTCCTTGTCTCACCCTCGCTTGTCGGCGCCGAAGGAGGAGAATTCCCACAGGGCACGATGGTGGGGCTGAGCAGAAGAAGCCTGCCCAAGCCAAGGAGAGGAGCAGGCAGGAGATCCTGCTCTTAAGAAACTCCCGACTCTACACTTTTTCCTATCTCTAGCGGGAAAACGAACGGCTTTTGATGCCGGCTCGCGCGGCCAATTCTCGCGATAACGAGGTTTGGTGCTTCCCCTCACCCCTTTTGCTGCTTCCCCGGCTGCCTTCAGTTCTAACTTTGCTCTCAGGGAGGTCGGAGGGGCGGCGCTCGCTCGCAGTCTCCGCTTCCTCCTTCGGCGCGGCGGCTGGAGCTCAGACCGCAGGAATAAAGGAGTCAAAGCCAAGGAGCTGTGTGAAGAAAAAATAAAAATAATAAAGCCGCTTTACTGAGCAGTTGTTGCGCCTGGAGCTGCCTTCTGGCAGCTTCGTGATTCAGCAGCGTCTAGGCAGGCAGAAATTCAACAGGTGCAGCCTATCAGTGCACCGGGATCCTGGGGAAAAACGCTGCACCTGCCGGTTTTCTGCCTGCTGTGCTGCTGTGAAATTGCCTTTCAACAGCAGTTCTGTGTTTTGTCTGCTCCCAAACCCACTGCTGAATTTGGACTCTACTTAGACTAGCTTTCTGAGCTTAAGTTACAATGGGAAGCCCAACCCTTGGGGAAGCTGCTGCTCGGACTCCAGTTTACCATCATTCATATAATTATAATTACAATTATTTATACCCCACCCATCTGACTGGGTTTCCCCAGCCACTCTAGGCGGCTTCCAGCAAAATATTAAAATACAATAATACATCAAATATTAAAAGCTTCCCTTTTAATAGTGCTCTTGTGATGTTGTGCAGTCAAGCAAGATAATTCAAGTAGCCATAGGCAATTTTAATAGGAATAATTAATGATAATGCCCTTGTGCACAAAGAAAAGTACAGTATGGGTGTTCCATATTTGCTCTTCTATGACTTCGCAATAGTAATCACACCAATCTGGCGCTGGATAATTGATTTACAGCCTCGAAACAAAACTACGGTTTCCCCTGTAGAGATTTCCAGTTCCAAACGTAGCAGATATTTGATCCATTTGTCTCTGGAGAAGACCACGGTCTTAACAGAAACTATGAAAGATGGTTTATAGCTGGTTAATCCTCAAAACATGAACCATCAGAGTACTATTGCAGCACAAGGAAATCTCTACTCGGATTTCACGCTAGCTGTTTTGGAATTGAAGGGAGGTTGCTCAAAATCAAATGTAATCTAGTACCAACGAACTGGCACTAGCCAAAATATACAAACAATTGGAAATTTGACTACTTCCATTCTGAAGCAATGCCACAAGAAATACACTTTTACTTAAATGTGATCTGTGAACATAGGTCCATGTATGACATTAAATGCTGATAAAATAAACAATAGGGATTTGCCTGCCCTTGAGAAATTATATATATTGCCCTACATGGGGTCTTAGAAAACCAGCTAGCTGCACTAATCAGGAAAATTCTTATTGTTGCTCTATCCTTGAGGACCAACAATATTCTGTATTTAATTTTTTTAAGTACTTTTGTTTATTTGAACTTAATATGCCATCAAATCCATGCTGGTACAAAAAAAGCACAGAGGGGTGTGTGCATAGATACATAATGCTTGGGAATTAGGAAGTGGTTGCAGAACACAATGCATACTGAGTACCTTAAGCCGGGGATCCCTTTGTATGGACAGGTGTGTTCTTGGTGGTTTGCTTTGCTGAAAATATAAGCAGACCAAAAAAACACCTTGTGGGCAAAGGGGAGTGGCAGTTCTAGGGAACAACAGATCATAAGCCTCATGTTTGGAATTTTGTGCAGTTATGTTTGCACATAAATAAGTCCTACTGAATTCAGGGGTTAGGATTGCAACCTGAAATATTTTTTATTTAGACAGACCTATAAACGGACTTCAAAATATGCTCTATTTGGTTTTTATTGGTTGTCTTTGATGGATTGAATTAATGTTTTACTTGCATGTTTTAATGTTCTTTACTTGGTGCTCTATTGCTGTTTTAGTTGTATTTTATTACAGTATTCGTTTGATCGCAGTGAGCCGCCTTGAGGACCATTTGGTGAAAAGGGGGGGGGGGGACAAATTAAATATATAAATAAAACAATTGTCCATACAGCACATGCTGTACCATATGAAAGATGCATGAATTCATTTTTCTTGCAACACGCTGGAAGCAAATCGTGTGTCCTCGGTTTTCTGCCAGCTGCAAACATATTCACCATTTCCTTATCCTGTGTTTGAGGCAACACAACTGAGTTGCAGGGAATTTAAAAGGTATTCATTGCTGGTATCAGGATTGGTATTCTTCATATTTGAACTACCCCAGATATTGTAATATCGCAGACTACTTTGTCTGAGGCCAGTTGCATGTTACCAATATGTATAATGGTTCATTCTTCCTCACCTACTTTAAAACTGACTGTGCAACACATCTAAAATAGAATGCACTTAATTAGAATAAGCAATATTAAAAATAAATGTGGATAGAAAACAAATTTAGGTTCTCTAAAATATTTCTCGTTCCATATTCCTGATCAAGATATAAAGTAATCTACCAGCCAGATCATGAGTAGGCGGACTAAGGCCCGTGGGCCGGTTCTGGTCCAACCGCCTTTTAAATGTGGCCCAAGGACGGTCCAGGAATCAGCGTGTTTTTACATTAGGGGAATGTGTCCTTTTATTTAAAATGCATCTCTGGGTTATTTGTGGGGCACAGGAATTCATTCATATCCCCCCCCCAAAAAAATATAGTCTGGCCCCCCACAAGGTCTGAGGGACAGGGGACCGGCCCCCTGCTGAAAAAGTTTGCTGACCCCTGAGCCAGATTAATGAGCACACTGACCTCTGGTTTTTAACACTCTTGCTTACTGTCTCATAACCTGTCCTGTCCTAAAATGTAGCACAATCTTCATCTGCCATTGTTTTGTCTAAATCAGAATACGGTATCTGTGGCTCTCCAAATGTTGTACTACAATTCCCACGGTGGGAGCTCGAGTCCGACAACATTTGGAGGGCCACTGGTTAGCCACCTCTGGTCTAAATAATGTAACTGGTACTTAATCAAAATACATGTTCTGTTGGATAAAACCATAGTTCTTTGCAAGAATATGCCTCACAATTGGGCAAAGAATACTTCAGCATACTGTTCAGCCTCAAGCCACCACAAACCTTTCAGCATTTTTGCTTTCTTGACAGCACGATCTTCCGCATGTTTACTAAGAAGTAACTCCCAGTGTGTCCAGTGGGGCTTAGTCATAGGAAGATGTGCCGAGGATTGCACCCTAAGAATATGGTTCAAATTAACACAAATGGAAAAAATGCAGGTCCTGGTTTTGTTGGTTTTATTTGCCCCCTGGTAAACTCTGGATCAAGGGACACGGGTGGCACTGTGGTCTAAACCACTGAGCCTTGGGCTTGCTGATCGGAAGGTTGGCGGTTGGAATCCCCACGAGGGGTGAGCTCCCGTTGCTCTGTCCCAGCTGCTGCCAACCTAGCAGTTCGAAAGCCCACCAAAAAGTGTAAGTAGATAAATAGGTACCACTCTGGCAGGGAGGTAAATGGCGTTTCCGTGCGCTGCTCTGGTTTCGCCAGAAGCGGCTTAGTCATGCTGGCCACATGACCCAGAAAAACTGTCTGCGGACAAACGCTGGCTCCCTTGGCCTGCAAAGAGAGATGAGCGCCGCAACCCCAGAGTCGTCTGCGACTAGACTTAACTGTCAGGGGTTCTTTTACCTTTTTTAAAACTCTGGATCAGGGACAATCTAGAAAATTCTCAGGATTAAAGGAGCTAGATATACGGATATCACAGTAGCATTTTAAATGCTGACTAATGTTACTATGATTAATGGTGCAGAAATATTTCAGAATAGGACAATATTGCAGCTTTAGACTGAGCAAATGTTCATTTCAATCTAGGGTATCTCCAGTAATTCTACAGTGATCAACAATCCTTTTTGTAAATCATTAGGCCAGTTTTTTCTCAGAGGACACTTTAGTTCTAAAAATAAAAGTATTTTACAAATGCTGAAGTATGTTGTCAGAATGGTTATAGTGAGTTTTATATTCTATTTATATACCTATAATATGCCACTTTATGTTTTCCCAACAAGCCAAAAATCTGCCTAGCCGCTCAGAAATATTACCTTTTCCAAAATGTGTTGCAAATCGGAAGGTGTGTCTTTCAGCTTGCGTAATCTTGAAAGTATTTGATTCTACAAATGCTATGTACTGTTGATTCATTTCCCCACTGTGTCTGTTTAATTAATGGGTGACCTGAAGAAACTCTGAAATCGCGTCCTTAAATAAATATTGTCCATAAATGGATCATGTCAGCAACACTCAACTTACACAGTTGCCTGGAATGGGCAACGTAACGACGCTTGTCAGTTCTATTGGATTTGTAGCTGATTTTTATACGGAATGGCCCTGTTTTCTTTTTCTCAAAAAAGCATGTGAACACTTAGAGGAGAAGTTAAACAAGCTCACTTCTATGGTGACTCTGGTTCCATTGAATCAAAGTAATTAATTATCCTTCAGAGAATTTTTTTTTATTATGTGTTAGTTACTTCACTTAAAAGGGGGGGAAAGACAAAAAGAACATGGTTCCAAGAACACAACAGAACTTTTCCCACCAGGCATAGTAGTTGCAGGAAAAGCTTTATGGAGATTACAAATGTATTTTAGGTTGTATTCAACTAAGTCCTACTCAGAGTAGACTCATTCTAATGAACCTGGGTTTATCATGTCTATTAGCTTCATTGGGTCTA